AGACAAGCTTCCCTTCTACACACGTGGCCTTCTCGTCCACGTGGGGAACCACCGCTTTCCTTCCAGTGTAACTGATTAAATACACATTTCCTGCTGTTTGGCCTTTCTGTAAATGGTCGGAGCCAAAAGAGTTTGGCAGATATCGGCTATTCAGGACAGTCTGAACTTCTTAAGTCCAGCTTCTCCAGCGGTGAGAAGAGGGGGAAGCTCTCCGTGGCAACAACCTCCTGAATGTTATGCAGGGCGCTGCTGCTGCTGCTGCAAAAGAAAAAGCTCTGGCAGAGCACAAGCCTAAATATTTATTTTAGTAACAGGAAAGACAGCAGAGGGATGATGACTGACGCCGGGAGTCACACATCGCAGCAACCCAGATTTCCCCGACAGGCTGAGTCGGTGTTGCTCATTCTGCCTCCTGCCCCCCCAAGGCCTTGACTGCCCCCCCCCCCACCCCCGAACCGCCCCACCGCCCCCCACCCGATGGAAATTAGTTTTATTCTGTGTTTCAATGTCACATCAAAGGTGTTCATCGTGTCTACATTCAACCCCTGTGTGTGTGTGTGTGTGTGTGTGTGTGTGTGTGTGTGTGTGTGTGTGTGTGTGTGTGTGTGTGTGCGTGTGTGTGTGCGCACTCATACCACGATGAAACATTTCTTATGCTTCCTGCTCGGTTGACTTGAATAAGTGCGCTCGTTGTAATCTAATTAACTCCGCCACGACACAACAAAGACAGGATTGATGAACTGAGCCGAGATCCTTGGCACAAAAACACACCACACCCCATTACATGTGTGTGTTTGTGTGTGTTCACTCGTTTTTGTGTGAGCGACACCTTTAACTTTGGGTCGTTTTCCTTTATTCAGCTATTCAGCTCGTCCTTCCCTCAGTGTGATACATGATGTGTTGTACGGGCCCCTTAAGCAACGTTACTCAAATTAAGGGAATCCCATCCTCAGCAAACCATAACAAACACACACACACACACACACACACAGACACACACACACACTGACTGAGAGAGCAACAGAAGTGAGCAACTCTATGGGAGACACACAGCCGCCGGTTCCCTTCATCGTGTATGAGTCACTGCGCTGTAAACGGGACGCTCTTCTTGACCCTCCATCACCTTAACAACAGGTGTGGTTGTGCGGACTATCTGCTATCCACTCAACACACACACACACACACACACACACAGAAACACACACGTACAGAGAGACACTAAAGGCGGTGACAGAATGAGAGCACATTGAGGGTGAGTGGCCTTAACACACCTATTCTGCATCAACACCCTCCCACCTACAGACAGGGGCCCGGCGTCCGGATGGAGGACGAGGCAGACGGGTGGAGGTCGGCAGATCAATGCTGCCTTCAGGTGCGGTGGGAAATACTGTAAAACGAGCACGCACTAATGATGGTGTATTTGGTAACGAGGAGGTTCGAGAGTGTTGACACTGTTTTTGAGGATTTCCCACTTTGACAAGAATATTCCTGTTGGAGCTGCATTCCTAAACATTATTTGGACAATTGGGGCGCCTGAACAAACTAGTTTAGACATTACAAATGCACACGAAATGCAATTATTGCAGATATTGTAAATATCAGATCAGATTTGTATGTAGAGTCGAGTGCATTATTTGTTGTTTGTGAGCTTGTTAAATGAACGATATATCATATTATGCTACCGCACGATATTAAAAACACAGTGGGGTTCAGCTACAATAAGGACCCTCTCCGTTTTGGAGAGACGTTAACAGGCAAAAAAACAACCCCCCTCCTGGCAACAGGTCTGTAGATGATGCTGTCAATGTGGCCCTCCACTTCGTCCTCCAGCATCTGGACTCCCCAGGAACCTACGCCAGGATCCTGTCTGTGGACTTCAGCTCTGCCTTCAACACCATCCTCCCGTCTGTGCTGCAGGACAAACTCTCCCAGCTGCAGGTGCCTCACTGACGGATCACTGACTTCCTGTCTGACAGGAAGCCGCACGTGAAGCTGGGGAAACACGTCTCAGCCTCCCGGACCTTCAGCACCGGTTCCCCCCCTCCCGAGGCTGCGTTCTCTCCCCTCCGCTCTTCTCCCTGTACACCAACAGCTGCACCTCCAGCCACCAGTCCGTCAAGCTCCTGATGTTTGCGGGTGACACCACCCTCATTGGACTGACGAAGCCTTCAGGGTTCAAGACATTTTCTTCGTGTTAGAGAATCTGTTTTGCCTGTGTGTGTGTGTGTGTGTGTGTGTGTGTTTTAGCTCGTCTTGAGTAATCAAATGGATAATTAGGATGCACGTTGCTGGCATGCCTGCTGAGAGAAATCTGCAGCCTGTCACTTTCTTCCTCTTTTTTTTTTTAAAGACGGAGCAGCACAAGCTCAAGAAAAACACGGATAATTACAATTGGATTTTTGCATGGTTTCCTCCTGTGTAGCAGTAACCACAAACAAAAAATCACACAGTCATGGACACGCGTGCAGAAATCACACACCTTCGCTCTTTTGGGAAATCAATGAGGGAGATCGATCCTGCGGTACGGATCCACTGGAGTGCACAAAGGCCGAAACACAATCTGCTCCTCAACATCTCCAACTACGAGGCGCTCGGAGACATTGAGGACTTCTGCAGATCTGTTTTTTTTTTTTTTAAATAAGCTTTTTATACGTTGAATAATTGACACAACTGGATTTAATTCCATCTCTTAGCAAACAATGATAATTAAAGCAGGAGTGACGATGTGCTTTAAATTGATCTGATTTTCCACTTTGATGCGAGAGATGCGGGTTTCATGCCCTGACTGCGAGTCTCTCTCAACCCAACGGTGATTAACACCCACCGAGAAGGCCTAGATAAGTAGCAATCAAGGTGGGGAACGAAGAGCGAGCGTAAATCCAGCCCACGCGGAAAAGTGATTCCTCGTTAAGGCAAACACTGCGGGATTCATTTAGAAGCTAAATGTTTTTCCCAATCAAAACTTAGTGATTTAAACCGGGGCAATTACATTCAAGCCTGTTTTGCATTTGATCCCTTGACGAAAGGCGTTATTTGAGATGTACACAAATTGTCTGGAAGTTGATAAAAACCTGCTGAACCAATCAGGCTTTTAATTGCTTTTGATTGCTACGGCTCAGCGGAGCCCAACACGGCTTGTTAAAATGCAGTTTGGCTTCATTTCCTGCATCAGAAGTGGCTGATCGTTAAGTTTGAAGACTCGCTGGAACTCCATTAAGTTAAGCTGGGGGGGCAGTAGGATAAGTAGTAAAGGCGAAAAGAGATCTCTAGTCTCTTTTTTACTGTGACCACCTTTAAGAAACAATATTAAAGTTGAGCCGACGGGGAGAAAGACTTTGCTTAAAATTGCTTTAAATTATTATTTGGCCACTTGGGCCAGAAATCAAGCAGATGTGAAGCAGAAATGGTGCAGAAGTGGAGCAGATGTGATGCAAATGTGGTGCAGACGCGGGGGAGACGTGGTGCCACACCAAATTATTGGTGTGGCACCACGTCTGGTGTGGTAAAACACATACGTCACATAGTCATTTGATCAATTTTCGATACTAAAAAATGCAAACTGTAAGTGAAAAAAAGCTTTCTTTTAAACATTAAAATCCAACTGGATAAATATGCTTCTTTTTGTGACCAGGAATATAAAATTCAATATTTTGACAGCATGTCAGAAAATGCTGAGAAACCTTTGATCGACAGCCTTGTGCTCGAGATGTTCCCCCCAAATTCCACCGCAGCAAAAGCCCACAAGCGCCACCGTGTGTCGGTGGGAAGAAGCACATGTCGACCAATGCGGAAGTCTCAGCCTCGTGAACACAGTGAGAGTCCAGACCGGTGGAAGTGGTCAGTAACTGGTTTACCGATTCAAGTTGATCGAGCCGAAAAGGGAAAATACTGATTTACAGGGTCACTCGTACACATAAATCAACCAGGACAAAGACGAGTGAAAATACTAAACTGTGGTTTCCCTTTTCCATTGTGCATAAATACATATATACTAGTTGATTATACATCTCTTGAATCATTGATTTAACATTACAATTACCCGCAAAAAGATAACAGTAATAACTTGTTGTAATCACCACCTGTCCAAGTGTTTTATTAGAAATGGCCGCCCCTTTAAAACCAGCTTTCAATGAGAATCAATCAGGCTCCCAGCTGCTGGAGCATCTGTCCACCCCCCCACACACACACACACCAACATGGAAATGACCCTCATAGACAATAATCAACAGTTGCATTGTTTGAAATGGCCATTTATGTACTGATCCCACCTAATACAGCTTTCCTGTCACTCCAAACTGGACTGATGCATCCGGGCTCCTAAATATACAGGACTTATTCATACAACGCCAGCTGCCGGTTCAGCTGGACGTGGCATAATCCAGAGCAGCGGATGGTAACAATTGTCTATTAGTTCAACTGTTGTCCAAGAGTACAACGTAAAAATGTGACGTATTGTGTTAAATGTGTGGCCTCCTCTGCGATAGAGAAGAACCAAACGTCCGGAGCCACTTCGGGCCCCTCGGGGCAGATCCAGGAACACGATGACAGTTTGGCTCTAAAGTCTTCGATTATTCCGACTGGCAACTGCGGCCACTTTAGCATCGGCAAGAACGGCGTTACTTCATTTTCATTTAAAAATCACCCCGTTTATCCCGACCACAGGAGGGGAATCAGACACACACTCATCGGTGTGAGGCACCTTATGGCACCACACACTGCAGCCAGGGAACCGTATCCATCCAAAGACAGTAGAGGGCGCTGCTGAACAGGCTGTAGAACGTGGACCACACTACGCGGACCCATTGACGCAAACGGGACGCTGAGAAAAGTGAAAAGAATCACATATATAGAAAAAGTAACCTCATCAGCGGCCCGTCTCATTATCTTCAAAGCATATAAACATGTCTCCACGTTTGAACTGAGGGGTTCTGCTCTGATTGGCTCGCGGTTCCTGGAAGGCCCACTTTCTGCTGCTCACACAAAAGAAATGAGACAACAACAATAAGCCCGTTACATTTATTCACATGCTTGGACACGTTCAACAGTTACGTCTCGTGATGTTAGTGGCGGCAGGTCGGGCACACAGATTTATGGAAATAGTCAATCGTGTGGGCGACAAAGCGAGTCCGAAGCTTCTTGGCGAATGGGTAAATGTTTGGGGGAGGGAGGGGGGAGAAAGGGGGGAGAAGACGCCCTTCAACTACAAATGTCCCTAAACAGTCTGAACGCCAAAGACTTTATCACCCGATTACATTAAACAACCGCGTTGGCTGCAGACAGAAGGAGCCGGGACGTCTGCGTGTTTGAACCAATAGGAATGTAAAACAAAGGGACTTTGTACTAACAGAATTCGGTTTGTATTCTTTAAGAACCTCCAAATAAGTGACATTTGACTTTAATTTATGGCTGTTAGCGGTTAGAAAATCCAGCTTGGTAATGAGCAGCATGTTGCACGGAGAAGGTGCTGCATGCACATCACGCTTTATGGGAACGCTCCTGATTAACACCACCCAATTATTCCCCTCCACCCGGAGCCTTTGATGGGCGAGATTGTCACATCAGCATTCAATGTCACACACATATAAAACTCAACAAGAGATTATTTCTGACGTTCCGTCCTCAAGAGATGTTTGATAAATCCCACGAGTCGACATCTAGTCAGTAGTAATTATTAGTATCTCCCAAAGACATACGATACCTTCGTACAATCATGTATCCTCTACGTTACGGTTTCCCTTTTGGTCTAAAAAGACACTAATCACTGCTGAGATCTGAATATAAAACAATACAAATTAGTCTACACATGTGCACTCATGTCTAAAATAAGACATATCCATTATTAACTTCATTATGAACAAGATCCCTCGTAAAAAAATATCCATATTTGTTAAAAGTCAGTGCATCTAAAAGTATTAGGAGAGGTGACGTGTTAGAAAACAGTTTGTATCTGCCAGTGAAAATTATACGTATAAAAACTTAAATTCTAAAGCTAAATAAACTGATGCCATGTTGGCATTCAGGGGAACCGTTACAATCACAAGGCAACACTCCATCAGCAGCAACTTCAGGCCAAACTTTGCATAAAACGGGGAAACAATTGTCTCCTAAAAGGCACACGGGCCCCAAATGCAGTAAAACACGTTTTACTGTAAAGTGGGAAATTCTTTGAATGTTTCTACATTAAAGTGTCTGAAGTTCAACTGAGAAGGCAACGTTATTATTTGTCTTTAAGATTTCAAAATAAGCAAACACATTCAAGCCCAATAGTTTGGGTGAAATATGGAAACGGAAGGAAAAACCAAATCCAATATCAGCGACTCATAAAATATAAAACTATTACAACGTGAGCAAATTCTGAAATGTAATACGCAAGATTTCATCATTTATTTATTTTTTTAGAAAAAAATTGAAATTGCTGATTCACGACACTGGGAATGATTCCACAAATTCGAACACAAATCGGTACCAAAATACAAACTCCAGCATCCCTGTGATCTACATCCAAAGTCCAGACAGCAGCAGTAAACAGTGCAGTTTGTTCCCCTTCTAACGAAGCAGCTCATCGCCGCTCCTCCGACATCTCACGCGTCACTTGGACTTGGCGTCGGCGTCCAGCACGCGCTTCACCCTCCCCAGCATGACGGCGGCGATCAGCGCGCACGCCGCCAGCGTGGCCGCGTAGAGGCCCGCGAACGCGCCGGCCTCGCCGCTGCCGTGCAGCCGCGAGTACAGCTCCCTGCGGGCCGCGTAGTCCAGGTGGGACGCGTGGATCTGACACAGCGTGCAGCAGGACAGGAAGACGTGGAACATCTGGTGGCTCTGCCCCACGAAGTTGCACCGCCCGGGGAAGCAGCGCTCCAGCAGGGGGAAGGTGAAGAAGACGGAGCAGCCGAGGAAGAAGGCGAACTGGCCGAAGTGGAAGGCGATGGCCGGGTCGTCGGCCGCGCCCCACGACGCCAGCCTTTTGGCCACGGGGCTGCTGTCCCAGGCGTACGCCATCGCCGACGGCACCACCTGGCACAGCTTGCGCACCCACGGGGGCAGGCTGTGGTTGCAGTACTTGCCGTAGCAGCATCCCAGGCACGACAGGCAGCTGAGGGCGGCGGCGGCCGGCATGAAGACCCCGCGCACGTGTCCGTGCAGGCCCTCGTCCACCGCGTAGTAGAAGTGAACGACGGCGCTGCCGTACTGGTACTGCGCCACCCCGACGTAGTCCAGGAAGTAGAAGACGTAGTGGCACAGCTCCGACTTGCCGCCCAGCAGGTGGGCCGCCGCGCTGAACGCCGAGTAGGTCAGCGAGGACACGACGAGGATCAGCAGGGGCCACGAGTGGGGGTCGCCGGCGAAGTCCACGCTCTCGGCGAGCTGCCGCAGCTTCACCAGGATGACCAGGAAGGCCAGCAGGTGGGTCCACACGTTGACCGTCTCGTTGTGGCGCTGGAACAGAGACAGGAAGTAGTAGCGCCAGTTTTGGTGGAGCGGCCGGTAGCCGCCGCACACGTAGCGCTCCCTGAAGTAGTACGGCACGTCGGCGTCGCGCACGGTGCCGGGCATGGAGGGGGCGGCCTCGGTCAGCATGCGGGGGAGACCGCGGATCTGCTGCAGGCTGATGAACACCCGCCCGATGCTCTCCATCACGATGGTCGCCATGGCGCTCGGGAGCGGAGAGAGACGCCCACTGGGTGCCTGCAGAGATTGGAAGGCGTTGACGTCCGGTGAGAAGGGAACTTTTGGTCGTTGTTGACTACGTTTTGTGCACCGGTGGCGGTTTATTGTTTTGTTCACATGGAAGTCAGATAGTTACCGTTACCTCGGGTTAGTGACCTCACACACTCGTTTTCACACAGACAGATCATTGCAGAACCGAAGCGTTGTCACAGAGTCTCAGAGTTTAGTCTCTCCACTTGAATCTACATTTTGGATGCTTGGGAATCTAAAACAAATCTGTGCTCCCGTTGCGTAATGAGGAGCCCTGGAGGCGTTTGGCTCCCACCCAAGAGGAGAAGGGGCTGATCGCACTCCGCCCGGCGGGGACTCGGCCTCTGCTCCCCGGCTGCGGGCTCAAACCGGAGCGGGTAGAATGTTGAGGGACTTGGTGTGAGTTCACTGAGCCGAGTCGCGTCTGATTAAGCGAAGAGCGAAGTGAACGCGGCAGGAAAGAGGAAAAAACTCCGGGACTGAAGCGCTCCGCTAAAAGTTCTGTAACTTCTTACATCTTTGGTGACCGTTCACGCACCTTGTGGTGATTGCCTTGTTTCCTTCAGAGCCCCCCGCGGTGGAAATGACCTCCTCTTCTTCTTCTTCTTCTTCTTCTGCCTCCTCCTCCTCCTCCCGGCAGAGACCTTTCAACTGACTCGGTCTGAAGCGCGAGGAGGTCGCATCAAGCTCGCGACCTTCACACGGAGCCGGAAGTCCGCTGATGTAAACGTACAAATAAAATGATTCTAAAATACTTGTTGGATCTGGAATAAATCAAAATGTAATTACGGGTTAAATAATCAACTAATGGAAAGCAACGTATTAAGAAGGAATGAAAAGGAGTAAAGTACAGACTGTTATAACACCAATGAAACAGCAGATTTAGATTATTTTTTGTGGAAGAATACAACATGTAATATTATAAATACACTATTTGCGTGGGCCGGCATACAGATTGTTTGCACGTTGCGCACGTTTGTTGTAAACCTCTACGGGTAATCAATCCAATTCATTTTGGAAGGTTCACTTTTTATTTTTATTTTTTTATAAAAGCATAAAAATAAAAAGTACAAAATATGAATATCAACAATTTAAATTATGACAGTATTATTGTATACGTGTATATATATATATCTATATTAGTGGTCTACATGTCAACAAACGTGTGTTTCTGAAAACGTATTTCTAGTCTTGATCGTTGTCTATTATAGTGGAGCGTGGCGGGTAATTAAATGTTATGAGTTGTTTTATTCTGAAAACTGTTAACGGAAATGATGGCGTACTTGTAACTTTCCAGTCGGGCTGAATAAAGAGGAAGAAGGTGCTTTTGTAAAAAAAAAAAATCCGAGAGAGAGAGAGAGAGGGGGAGAGAGAGAGAGAGAGAGAGAGAGAGAGAGAGAGAGAGAGAGAGAGAGAGAGAGAGAGAGAGAGAGAGAGAGAGAGAGAGAGAGAGAGAGAGAGAGAGAGAGAGAGAGGTACACTGGCTGTGTGAACTGGAACATTCTTTATCCATAAATCAGGAGCACACAAACCTGATAAAACGCTATCATACAGTCCAGCAGCCGTCCACATAGACTTTGATCTGAATTACTGGATTACTCCAACAGTCTTATGAACTTATGAAACAAGTATTCAGGTGTGTTTCTGGAGAAAGGCTAAAAGGCATGTGGGGACACGTCAGGAACTCTCATGAAAAAACATTTCTGCCGTTTAATGAAAAGCAAATGAAATGGCGGCAATAGAAAAGAAACGTTATTCACACTTTAAAAACAAAACATTTTTTAAATGACGAAAAAAAAGTAATAAACTGAACACGAGAAAAAGTGTCGCAGGAGGTTTGTGGAAAGCTTTTGTTTGCAGGTGAAAGCTGAACTGATAATCCCTTCGCTTCGGCCTCAAGTCCTATCAGTTTTTTTGTTATTGTGAACGTGAGTATTTTTATTTCAATCACTTTAAATATTGCTTCAAGGGGTTACGTGCCTCGTTCAAAGGGTTTTAGAAAAGTCAGACTAGTCCCTGTTGTTTGAGTTCTCCTGAGTACAAACCCTCCAGTTTATTTCCACGTAGACCCAGTTCGACCTTTTAAGTACGACAGCCTGTTCAGAATCCAACAATACAGGTTTGGACATTTTTCTTCGTCTGCGATTGCTCCGTTTTAAACTCGAAAGGCCTTTGAAAACATTCCGTGTTTTCCTTGCGAGGACTCCGTGAAGACCCCCATGGAGATAAAGCCAATAAAAGCACAGCGGCCCTCAGTTGTAGGGGAGAGATGAACGTACTCGCACACTGCACCTTTAAGAGAAACAGAACGAGGTCAAGTGTTTGCATTTTTGTGAGGGTGTGTATACTTTTTGTGAGGGTGTGTATACTTAAGGAGGACAAGACGAGGAGGGATAAAGGTCCACAGATGTTAAAACGTCTTCACCCTCTTACCGACTGAGTTTCCCTCGCAGACGGAGGAACATGGGAATAAAAGCACCCGAAGTGATGATGGTACCGGGTGTTGACGCACACTCCTTGTTCCCCTCAGCAGCTTTGAGTTCCTGGCAATGATAGAAAGAGGAGCCATGCGAACATCTGAGGGGATGATGTCACAGGACTACGGCAGCAGCAGCTTTCCTCCTCTTGTTGGGTTTGAATATAACATCTGAATGAGGTCTGATGAACACACATACGTTGACCGGGCTGAAGGCTTTTCTCCCCGTCACTCCCTCCAGTTATCAATCTCACTCATATTCACACACTTCCTGTTGCTCACCGCACTTCCTCAATAATTTCATTTCCTGCCTCAGGACGCCGTTTTGTCTTATCATTGGTCATATATTCTACAACAGTCTTTTACACTGCTGCATTTTGATATTTTGAAGGATTGAGTGAGTTTTTTTCCTCAACCCCGCACCTTTGAAATGGAAAACAGCGAATAGAACCTCTTATTCAGCCATGTTGAGAATTGTTTTCCGTTATTTCATCATTTAAAAAACAGGGAAGTTGCACTTAACTAACAGTAAGCGCTCAGGCACAATTAGCTAATTAGCTAATATTGTGGCCGTTTGCCGTTTAAAGTCCAGATGTGGACAGTGGAACAGTGGAACTAAAAAAAACAAATAAATACGTCAACATAATGTATTAAAGTGTTATCTCCATCCATCCATCCATCCATTTTGGTTAAAGAAAGTACAAAAGGAATAACAGCAGTGATTTTTTTCAATGTGAATAAAGTTATCCAAACTTGGACAGGAGTTCTAGTATTGGACCTTGAATATTCAATATTAGTACAAGATAAGATTTTTACTGGCTTGTTTATCACTCAGTATCGCTGCAGCAGAAATATAACAATCAAAAAACCTACATAATATCCACAATAAATGAGCACTCAGTGTATGAATATATACTTGAACACTTTACAACATGCTTGTTTTAATGTACTTGTACCTGGTTTATTTGCCATATTCATTGTCTGTGTAACAGATTCAATAAACCGTTTATGACATTTATTGAGATTAAATAGTCTCAGAAAGAGGGAAGTTGCAATAAAAGATGAAGTCCAGTGGCAGGTTTACTGGTTTTAGTCTGTACTCTGCAGTGTGTAGTCTGCTATGAGCACCTACACAATAGACAATAGGGGGGTCGGAGGGGAGGAGGGGGGGGGCTACACGAAGGCCTCGACCGCGTAATCCAGCCGCGCCTCTGTGGATCAAAACCAGCTTTCGGTGTTTTGTTTTCACTTCACCGCAGAGAGATCACTTGTTCCACCTGTTTACCAGTAAGGAGACTCTTTAGTGTTGAAATACAACACAGTGTTGTAATCCAACACACACACACACACGCAGACACACACACACACACGCACAGCGTGCAGCAGCTCCACATTGCCTCCACAGGGAGGCAGTGTTTCATTTTGATACCATCTAGTCCCTTCAGACACATGTGACGTGTATTCATATATAGTTTATCAATGATGAACAGCTTTGTTTGACTGATTATTCTACATTGTTTTGTTTTCTATAGTGATTTAATTGTATAGTTTATTCATTGTATTGTAGCATTAGTGTTAGTGTTTGTGTATTAGTATGTTTTATTTGTAGTTACGGCAACGCTATATTAATCTGCCACTGCGTACACAGCAGAGCAGATACAAGACCAGTGAAGTTTGTGTGTCTTTGCTTGACTTTTGTTTTGATGTATGATTCATTTGTTCTTTGTTGGAGAAATAAATCATAAAAAAAACACTAAAACCTGCAGACAATGGGATATTTGGTTTTAATTTGGGTTGTTTATTTCATACAAATGGTCAGTGATTCAATTGATGCTTTGTTGAACTGGGTTTAATAGATTTTCGTGCAGCCCCGTTGGGCCTCGGTGAAATGAAAACTAAACTAAAGCACGTTGTTTGTCTTCTTTTTTCTCCGTTCATTTTATGTTTTGACACTTGACATTTTGAGTCAAGTGTCCCCGGGGCCCACGGGTCCTTTTGGGGTCCTCAGGGCTTCGGAAGACGTTCTTCATGTCCAGCTGCAATCTAGTCTTGCGCACATTAAACCCAACATTTTGACTTCCCTGCTGACTTTAATCTGGGCCTTTGCTCAAGAAATCTTCCTCACTCGTTGACGCAACCTTTCTCACAACTTCTCATCCTCCAACGTGTTTCTAAAAGCGGAGAGTTAGACCCTCGCTTTCATTTCTTATTACAGCAGGACTGGAAACTAACGAAGCGTTGACATTTAACTTTTCGAACCTGCGCCTGAAAGGGACGGCGTGCCCCCGACCTGCACTCCCTGCAGCGGCACATCTTCTGGCCTAATTGGGTCCCTCAGCCAGGTATTGAGCTGGCATTTTCCTGTAGAATTCCCTCCGCTGCCCCCCCCTCCACCATGAACCCGGCGAGCCTTCGTTTATCAACGTCGGCCTGCTTTTGCTGAGTAGTTTGTTTTCGGCCATCGTACAATATATCAGCTGTCACATCTAATGGGGCCCAGTGGGGAGTACACAGGGCGGCAGCCGATCCCCAGGGGCCCGTCTTTGTTTCCCATTGCCACCATTGTCATAGATGACTCCTTCGATAGCTGCAGCCTCCCACCTCCTGCACACCGGAGAGCTCTCTTTGTGCTGGAGTGAAATCAAATAGGGGGTCTGTTTCAGTAAACCGGACCGAAGTCCCATTAAAGTGCTCGTGGGATTCCATTTGGATGATGACATTAGACCTGCGCAATACAATTTGAACCCTAAAGTGGCCCTTATTGTTCACAAAGTATTTGACTGAGCGCTCCCCAAAGTTACTTAATTGCCCTACAATACAGTATACAATAGATCCACATCAATACATTCAAATATGTCCAAACAATAAACCATTTATGTCTCACGTGGACATGAAATCTTGTGGCTCATGTTACTGAGGGAAGTTGCTGTAAATCTAGTTGTTTGAGGTTAAAATGTTGACGTTTGTCAGATGCACAGTCAGTCGATGTAGGCCGAGCCGGTAGGTTGGCAGGCAGGTCGTCCAGCCAGTTGAACATCCACAGATATCAGATCTTTTAGTATTACGTTTTTTTGAAGATGAAGAACGTTAATAGCTCCAGCTTGAAGATCAAACAGCTAAAGCCACCCTTTATGTGTTGCTATACAGGAAGGCCAGTAAAGAGTTCATTATTGGTATTTTAAAATTGCTATGATTTTGTGTTTTCGAGCATTTTAGCTCATAATCCCTTTACATGATCAATATATACTAACCACACCCCTGGTATGGACTAAAAGTGTTGACCCTTGTTTGGAAACCACTGACCTCGGTTCTGGGTATTGACCCATGACGGACACAGTTAATGACGTTAGTTAGCAGGGGTTGCAACTAATGACATTTTAATTGCTGATTGATTTTTTGGGAGCGATTAGTCAATCAGGATTGACCAAATCTCAGAATTAGCAGATACTATACATGTTCATCACAGTCCCCAAAGCCCCTGATTACATGTTCATAGTCGTGTTTGTTCCTATCAAAAGTCCAAGCCCAAAAGAGAGTAATTTTACAAATATTTGAAACAAAGAAATGCAGAACATTTTCATATTTAAGGATATTGTTTTTGAACATTTTGTCATGTTCAGATTTGTAATGAAAGTATTAATTCATTACATGTGTTTTTATTTTCACAAAAGGTCGTTAAAAAGAGTGTAAAATTAACTTTTTGAACTGAATAACAAGTATTTGCTCTGTTCTGTGTGTTAATCAAAGCAAGTGACTTGTTTGACAGGTTTTACAGGACTGATATTTCCCTCTTGAAGGCTTCCATAGATCGCGGAAGTTGCTCCTGCTGCCACGGACAACAAACAGGAAAAAGAAAACAGCCATCGACTGTATCTTTCAAAGTAAAACACACACTGGCCTTCGGTGTATTTTATTAGTATTTTATTAGCCAAATAATCTACATTTTCAACATATCAGTCATCTCAAATGTAAGGCTACTGCTGAATATATAATTTGATTAGTGTATAGCGGCAGGTATCCCTCTGCTTAGCGCCATTTGAGTTTTATTTTGGAGGGTACCATATACAACTTTCCGGTTTTGTTCCGTGTATTCTGGTGACTGTCAATGAGACAAACCAGGTTCATTTCCCACGGCTGGTGATGGCGGATGTTGTTGAAAAAGATACAATGAAGAATTACCGCATAGCGTCTGAGAAGATTGACCCGGAGAGCGGTCGCTTCCCTTACTGTGTCGTGTGGACACCCATCCCCATGCTGTCGTGAGTCATCGCCGTTTTAAAGTTACACTAGAACACTCTGTGCGAAGTGACAGCTTCGTTAGCTCAACGTTCGCTAGCGCGAGCTAACGTAAACACTATAATCGATTAGTAAGAGTCACCAGGATTCATTAAAAGTTATTCAGTAGCATGTAAGTAACACTAAAATGTCAGACACAAAGTTTCTTAATAAATGGGGAGTCAAAAAGTGAACAGTTTATCAGAGCCACCCTTTAATTTTAGTTTTAAAATGATGGTTAACTTGCTAAGCATCAACACCATTATGTTAAGAGACATTCCTCAAACAAGTGTAGGAATTCATGTGTTTTACCACATTTGCTTCCATCGTCATTTTTCTATTTTCATGTTGCTAAAATGACGACAGTCTATGAATGAGATTGAAAACAGGAATAATTGATACAGAGAAGTGGAAACAGCAAGACGATCAGTTAGAATTTTTGAACAAGGTAAGAAGTTTGTTTTGGGGGTAAAAGCTGCTTTTTCCCCCTTTTTTATTCTCTGACTACTATGAGCTCAATGAGTGCTTTATACATCTCACACTCTGTGAGGGCCTCGTCCCCAAAGACGTCCACTATGCCACTTTCATGTTGTGTAATGAACTTTGTTTGTTTGTTTTCTTCAGATGGCTGCTCCCATTCATTGGCCACATGGGAATCTGCACTTCCACCGGTGTCATCCGGGACTTTGCTGGACCTTACTTTGTCTCTGTGAGTAATGACCGTGGTGCTGCAGCACATTATGGCCTCTATCTGACCATATATATATATATATACATAGTACTACTTTAACACAATGCATGTCAGATAATACACAGGTTTGACCTTAAATTGTTGGAATGAGTAATAAACGTATGTTTTATGTATTGAACCCCTTTAGCTTCAAACACAAAGTTAGTATTTGCTTCTGTACAGAAGATGGAAGTTGTAGAGTCACGTCCAATGTTAACGTCAGGAAATGTATCAAGCCCCCTGCTTAATAATCCATGTATTTTCAAACTGTTTATCAAAATTTGCACACATTTTGTTTTCTTCTGTATCTTGCAACCAACATATTGACTATTAACTTCATAAATAATGGGTTAATGGGATAATAATGAGTTATTGAGTGCTTCAAAACGGCTGCTCTACATGTTTACCTGCAATTAACACTGGTCTGGAGTTAATGTTTTATTAACTAAAAATGCATTGGTACACAAAAAATCTAAAAAATAGCAACAAACATTTTCTCTTTTTTTGCAGGAGGACAATATGGCTTTTGGAAAACCAACAAAGTGAGTCTATGAAAGTACTTGTTGTTTTTTTGTTTGGGATTAAAATTGTTCTTTTATTGAACATGTTGCTCTGGAGGAAAGATCAGAAACAAAACCATTTATTACCTTTCTTTAACTTTAGGTACTGGATACTCGACGTCAGCAAAGTCCACGCTAGTGGCTCCAATGCCTGGGACACAGCGGTGCACGATGCTTCAGAGGAGTACAAGCACAGGATGGTAAACCAGGAGACTTGTGGCCATGTCTTTTAGTTACTTTATGAAAGGGAAAACTCCAGGAATGGTTTCTGCTCTTGTTTTGTCCGAAGCACAACCTCTGTTGCGACAACTGTCACTCGCATGTCGCCATGGCTCTGAACCTGATGAAGTATGAAAACAGCACCTCGTGGAACATGGTCAACATCTGCCTCCTTGCTCTGATCCATGGGAAACACGTGAGGTAAGACGGGGGAACGTGACGGGTCTTTGGCAGGTGGAGTTGGCCGGAGGAGTCTCTGCTCAGCGCTTTGTTCCGTGGCTTTAGTCTCTGATAGAAAACCAGTGTAACCGGCAAAAAGCCATAATTGATTAGTCTATTCTCCATGCCTTCCTTCATCCGTCTCTCTCTCTCTCTCTCCCTTCTCTGGGGGGGGTCCTGGGGCCTCATCCAGCTGTGCAGGCTTTCTGAAGACCTGGCTGCCTTTCCTGATGTTGATGGGCATCATCCTCACGGTGACCCTGGCTCTCCACCTGCGGTGACCCGGGGCCCAGCTGAAGGACGCAGTGGAAGCTCTGCAGGGCGGATGTGGGCTCGCTGGTTTCATCGTTGATGTAGAGGGAAGTGACGGACCCCCCCCCCCCCCCGCCCACAAGTACCAGGACTCACCTAATGGATTGTGATTATTACAACGTGCACGTTGTGTAGCTGCATTGATCGTCGGGCGGAGGGACACCGCACAGGCGACGTCTCACAGGGGACACAGTTCATGCCTTGCTTTCAGATATTTCTGACGTTTTTTAACTTTACTTTTACTTCAAGGATGCCATTTTGATACCGGGGAGCACAAACATGTTAAATCAACTGGATGCCTTTATTGGGAGTTTATTGCATTTCGTGCTTGAAGTGCTGAAGCTCTTCTACAGTCCTGCCTCTTAAAGCTAAACATGCCACAGCCGTTTGTATTTTTGTGCATGTTCACAAAGGTCTTCTTGACGGCCTGTTGTACATGCGTCGCTTGTATCACCTCATGGCACTACTTTTAAGAAGTTTACAGTAAATGTTTTAACTACAGATCACTAGTGCAACGGTCATAGAAACCTCAATGAATGCCGTTGTGAAAGAACAGAATCGCCCACCTTTTGGGAGACCAGCTCAAACTGTGTCTTTTGTATATCTAATGTTGTTTGTTTTTTAATGTTTAAACTTCATTGGTGAGCGACGTGAAAGCCGGTCGATGTCACAGGTTATGAAAGCCGGTCTGATCTCTTTGCACCACTTGAGAGGATTTAGTTTTTCATTACACATTTTGACTTTGAGGGAAGAAGCAAGACTCCGTGCCTGAACACCCCCACTCACGCATCCGTCTCATGTCCGTTCATCTTTGCCACCTATTTAAGAGCAACTTTGATTCCAATTGGTCGTTGTTACTCTCGATCCGTTGCCATGGCCGTCGTAAGTAGATTCCAATCCCTTCTGTTTGCAGTCAGACAGAAAGTGTTGAGCCCCTCCTTTTGTCCCGAGCAGCAGGTAGTCGGGATCTCAGGTTTTTCACACTCGTCAGCCCCCTGTTGAATATCCTCACCCCCCCCCCCTCCCTCCTCCTGCTCCCTGCTGTTCCCCTCATCTGCAGATCACAGTCGACTGTCAGCGCTCTTTGATGGAGCTTCTGATACAACGAGGGCAAAAAATTAGATATAATTTAAGTGTGATCTCATAGATGAAACCGTATGGAGGGTTTGTTTTTTAGCGCTAACCGGCGCCTCTGTTGAAAGCAGCTTCTCTTTGGCCTCTTGTGCGTGTTGCCATCTGATGTGCATTATCCCGTTTTACACCAGGTGCTCTTCATGAACTTTTTAAACTCGATCGCTCAATCTACTTATTTATCCTTTTAAATCATTTTGGGGTGTTGTTCTTTACTCCACATCTGTCGTCTCTGCTCAGCCTGCTTAAGTTAAAGTCGATTTCATGAAATAGCCTCTGCTGAGTTTAGCTACAAAATCAGCAATTTTTTCCCCCGAGCATTTTAAGTGGGGAAACGGGAAAGAGAAGGAGGCTCTGCCTTTAATTTGACTGGTGCATTCACGCAAATATTTCGTGACGTATTTCATGCCTTTATTGTAAAGAATGTTCGATGTCGAACATTGAAGGGAAGCAAACAGCCTTCTGAGAGATGTAACTAAAAGTAGCATGTGTTTAAAATAAATATGCTCATTATGTTTAAAATAAATATGGTCATTATGCCGGAAGACACGTTTGCGTCTCCTCCCAGGCTTTGAGAATGTGGTTGTGTGGAAATAAATAGAAACGGAGACATGAAAACCCCTTTTGGTTCTCTGCAAATTGCTCCAAATGTTGTGAAATGGGAGACAAACCGCTTCATTGGTTTTCCTCATTCGTTTGAAGTTTGAGCTATGAGAGGTAATGAATGAATGGACCAATGAGATCAGCACATAAAGCTCACAACATTGACATTATAGCTGCTTTGGATGTATAAATATGTATATTTTAGGACCAGAAATAGAAATTGTAAAGATGAACAGCGTACCGATCCCTTTACTGGAGCGCAAGTGCAAAATTCAGCTTCAGATCATTTGAAGGGTTTTAAATGTTTTGTGCCGCGGTGCCTCGTATCCAAGAGCCAGGTCCAGGAATGTGGAGACCTGTGGATCGAGTGGACAAAAGACCACCGGGATGCTATTATCAGTCCCACCATCCATATATACACCAGCCGGCAATTTCAACAACCCTCTTGTTTCTGTAATCCCCAAAACACCTCTTTAATGCTGCAGGATCATTCGGCCCACAGGGACAGGAATGTGTTTATCACTTACAGCTATAATACAATAAAGGGGTAGATTATTCATGGCTGTTTTGCTTTTTTTTAAACTTGAATATTCTTTTATTAAATTAATGTTTCATGAAGGCTGCAGCAAGAGGGATTTTATTTTTTTTGGGGGGGGGGGGGGGGGCTTCAAAGCGCTCTGAGCCATAAAAGCCCCCCCTCCTCCTGATGTTCCCATAAATACACTCCAATGTGATTCCTGCAATAATCATTATAAGCTGGCAGAATAAACATTGAGGAAGGGAAACCGTCCCGGCTTTGATTCTCTCAGTCCCACTCGGTGGCTGTTGTCCTGCAGAGCATCAAAGGCTTCAGTCTGCCCCCCAACCCCCCCCCCCCTTAGCATACCACCTGGTGGGTGGGAATCACCAGGGACACCAACCAACCAGAGGATGAAGTCCATGCAATACACATAAAACACAACTACATCAAATATTTCGTTTTGTATTTTCATTACCGGACGAAGAACTTTTCTGCGTAAAGCGGCTGCGATGTTGACCGGCACCACGTGCTCATGTTTGAGGGGGTGCGTGGTGGTAAAGATCCGCGCGAGGACCCACACTTCCCCCTCCTCCTCCCGTATCGTGCCTGCAGCGTCTCGGCGCGAAGCCCCTCCCCGCATATCATCGCACCGGCCGATGGTCCTTTTAACTTCATTGTTGGAGAAGAAGCGACGCCCCCGGCCAAAGGGAACCCAACAGCCCCTGTGATCGGCGCGACCCCCCCTGCTCGGCTTTGTTCCCGCGGAGATCACACCCAGCCTCCCGGCCACACTTTCCGCAGAGATGCGAAGTTGAAGCCGCATTCCCAGCCGGGACAACGCAGGATAATTCCGAGCTGATCGTTTTAGTTACCCGAGTCCCCCCCCCGACCCACCTCCCCAAACCCCACCGCCACCCACCTCCCACATGCGCGTTCTCTCCCCTTCGTTCTCGATCTCCGCGCTCGGACCCGCGCGCGTCTCCGCTCCCAACATGCCGGATTTGGCGCGGCGCCTCGTCCTGTGCGCGCTGCTCGGCTCCGTTTACGCGTCGTGCCCCCCGCGCTGCGAGTGCTCCGAGGCGGCTCTCACCGTGAAGTGCGTCTCCAGGGACCTGCGCAGCGTCCCCGCCGGGATCCCCGGGTACACCCGGAACCTCTTCATAACCGGGAATCAAATCGGCCGCGTCGGTCCGGAGTCGTTCAAAGGGCTGGACAATGTGACCAACCTGTCTCTGAGCAACAACAGGTAACCAAGACTCTCCCGGGCTTCCGCTTTGATTGGGGAGCAAAATAATGTTTCAGTCGTCATTGGATCGTCATTTTGTGTGTGTGTGTGTGTGTGTGTGTGTGTGTGTGTGTGTGTATAGCAGCTTGGGCAATTTCATCATTTTGGCTGCAAGATTTAAAGTTAAGCTCTAATCTAAGACTTAATTTGTCCTGTTGTCTTGCTCTTCTATCCGATCTCAAATCTAGAATCTCCGAGGTGGAATCCAACACCTTCGCCGGCCTCCGCGCCCTCCGCTCCCTGGATCTGAGCAACAACCAGCTGGCGGTCATTCACCCCGAGGCCTTCACCGTGCACAACCAGTCCCTGCGGGAGCTCAACCTGAGCCGGGCCCTCTACAACCACTCGTCAGTGACGGACTTGGCCACGTCTCTCCGCTGGAGCTCCCTCGGGAGCCTGAAGGGACTGGACCTCTCGCACAACGGCCTCATCTTCCTGCCCTCGCGTATCTTCTCCCACCTGGGCAGCCTGCGGCGGCTTCAGCTCTCCAACAACTCCCTGGTGGCCATCCACAACTCCAGCTTCTCGGGTCTGGGGCGCCTGGAGGAGCTCGACCTGACCCTCAACGCCCTCAAGACGGTGCCCGAGGAGGGTCTGCGCGAGCTGGACTCCGTGCCCGGCGCCGATCTCCTGCTGGGGGAAAACCCCTTCACGTGTTCCTGCGGGATCGAACCCTTCGCCCTGTGGCTCAACAGATCGCAGGGACGCATTGGCGACGCCGACGGCCTCGCGTGCGCTTTCCCCGCCGGCATGAGGAACACGTCCGTGCTGGCCGTGGGCTCGTTGACTCTGGGATGCCGCCAGTGGGGCGCCGGCGCCGACCTGGCTCTGCAGACCTCCTACGTCTTCTTGGGCATAGTCCTGGGCTTCGTGGGGCTCGTCTTCCTCTTTGTGCTTTACCTCAACCGCAAGGGCATCAAGAAGCGCATCAACGAAATGCGGGAGGCCAGCAGGGAGCTGTGGGACGGATACCACTACCGCTTCGAGGTCGACTCCGACCCGAGGTTGTCGCAGGTCTCCTCGAGCGCCGACGTCTGACCTCTGGTGCACCTTCTCGTGACTCTTTTTTTATTTTATCTAATGGTGTAAAAAGTGTACAGATTTGTCTGTAAGTGCGTATACGTGCACTGGTGTTAATGATCTTCCAGCCTTGTTTAAAGCATGCATCCACGGCGCGGCTAACGTGCTCGTTCCGTCCCGGCGAAGTGGGCGTGAATGCTCTCGGACCGATGTCTCTTCGTTTTTCGTGGCTGCTCCTCGCGCAGAAGAAAGTGCCTGAAATCAGCTGGTTATTGTTTCTCAGTCGCGAGCGATCTGAACTGAACGCAACCGTTTTCGTTCGTTGCTCCCAGTCAGTCGTTCAGCTCGTCAGAGATAAAGAAAGCAACAAAATGCTGCAATGAAACCTCGACGCTCCACCAAAACAAAGCTCCTGGGAATGTGAAGCACAATCACTCATTCATCTTTGAACTTCTTCAAAGCCTTTGGTCGCTGCGTCCTTCAGCCCCGAGGGGCCACAGGGGAATTAAACCTCCCAAGCTTTCCTAAAATCTCCACTCTGCTCCTCTTTTCGGCTGTTGGATTTAAGGGGGGGGGGGGGCAATTCAGTGCAGACCAGCGGAAATCTCCCAGTCCCCTCATTTATTTCCCCTTTTTTCCCCCGTGAACCGTTGCTTTGTTTCAACTGCTTGAGTTTTATTGTCGAAATGATGAGAACCAGTCTTGTTCTGAGGCCACTGAAAGACCCCCTGCCCCCCCTGCGCCCCCCTCCTTATAGACAACAGACGCTCTCGAGACTCTTTGAAAGAAAACTCTCCACGTTTTTCTGTTTAGGGGATTTTGTTTTTTTGTTTTTTTCCACCAATGATCAGATACAGATGATTCTGAAACACCAGCTACTTTGTTTCTTTCAGCAGCTTCTCTGAGTTCGCTTCATGAAACCAGAGAAGAAGATGTTCTTAACCTTTTGGTATTTCCTTCTCTACCTTTCTATGCTTTCTGTGCGGGGCTACGCCAAGAAAAATGTGCAAAAGTTGAGCATTTCCTCGGAGTCTCACTGAAATCTAGAGGAATGTATTTATTGGTCAGATCCAAGACGTACATTTTAAATGCATGTTTAAAGTCAATGAAATTATAACCTGCATGAATCCCGAAGAAAACGTTGTAGTCCTTCTTTTGCAAATGTGTCGTCCTGCTTTTTTTTCTAAATAACGAACTGTCTGCTGTTACGCACCAACCGCCAAGTCTAATTCCTTGTATGTCTGACATATTATGGCAATAAATGTTTCCTGATTGCTGATACATGACGAAAGCAATTCTCTCTGTGGCCTCACGATGCTCCAAAGTGAGACCGAGTTGAAGGAACGCCGCCAGTCCACAAAGTGTTCTTTGGCCAGATTGCGAGCTGTCGATTGTATTCGCAAACCTCCACAAGCTTCCCAAAGCTCAAAGCTTAGGCAGCTCCTTCGCCCTCCCAAGATGTTTTCCAAACCCGTCCAGGAATGTTCAGAACATCGAACCATTTCGCTGCGTGTGTGATGACAAAATAAAGCTCTATAATCGAAACGCCTGTGCGCTCATTTAGCCCAAAGCTAAGAAGCAGAAGGGAACGTCTACCTAATAATATTTGGACTCCACTCTGGCCCGATCACTTCTCCGCTGGAAGTCATCGCAGGGGGAGAAAACGATTGAGGTTCCTCGGCCGACACAAAGGGCGGCGAGACGCCTCCAATGAGCTTTGTTTCCCGGTGCTGAGAGAAGCCTTGCGTCGCCCGCCCTCCGTCCACAGGCGGCCATTATGCCGCCGCATAATAGGATTCAGTCACGATGACAAATTCAAGCGCTCTCAGCCAGCTATTGTTAAAAGCGTCATCGTTCTTGATGATTGCCGCGTGGGAGAAAATCCCGGGAGGAGTCCCGTCTCAGCCGGGGCCATTACGCCGGCCACGGGTTGCTGGTTTCAATTGTCGGAGCGGCGCGAGGGGGAAAGATTATTCCCTGGACGTCATTACTTCCATTTTGGCTCATTAAAGCGCGGATTAGGACCGGTGGCTTTCCTGTCTTTTTATGAGTCTGGCTGTTTGAAAGACACATGGTCTGTTTGCAGTAGATCGTCTCAGCGGGAAAGCAATGAAAACACAGGAACCCTGCGACTGCATCCAGACGTTGCCCATTACTCCCAGTGCGAATGGGAGGCCTGTTAAAAGGAGAGAGGTTGCTGCAATTAGTGTTCCTTCAGGCTGTTTCACATATCAGATTCAATGCTCACCCCTTTATTTCAACTCGCCTTGATCTGTTTGTGACGTCCTGTTTCCTTCGAGGGGGCAGTTTTCAGAGCTTTATGTCGCTGCAGCGTGTGGGTTTGTATATTGCAAAAATGAGAGCGTTTCTTTTCTCTCGTGTCCCTCTGGAACACAGAAGGCTTTTTTTTTTATCTCAAAGCGCCTCCTGTCTCCGGGAACATCTTGGCGCCCTTGCGTCGGGTTTAATGGCCCTGATGGGGAAACCCAACACATCTGTGAGGAATTGAACACGTTAAAAAGTCAGCGGCGTGACGACAGGAGGCCAAGTGGCATCTACTCCCCCTCTGGCAAGGACACGACAAACGAGCCTGTCTCGTCTCCCTCAACTGAGGACACAACCCATCATTCAGGGCACCGTGGCCCGTCTGTCACGTCCAACGAGTGTGGTTAGTTCTGCTGCTCGCTCGATCAATGTGACTGATTGTGTTGCCAGAGGAAGGTAGTGAGGAGGACTCTGTTCATCCGGCTCAACTCCCCGTTGAAGCCCAAACAGCCCCCCCCCGCAACTCTTAAATAAAGGGCGGAGCTAACAGCGCTCACACATCACCTGGATCAAGGTATTTGTTTGAAATGTCGTCTCTGTCTGACATCAACCCAAAAGGCAAACTTACATGTTTGTTCTCAGGTCCTTCCTGCACTTTGCAAAGTTGTGATACCCAAACAATATTAAGTAATTAACCAAAAGAGTTCAATCAGAAGAGACCAGTCAGATGAAGAAAAGCTCATTGTTTGTTATTAACAGATGATGTGAGATGATGAGGTCTTTATATAAACTTTATATAAACTGTAAACCTAAAAACACAAGAGCATGGAATCCTGCCTGGAATCACTCCTGAGCACTTTGGAAAAATCTGCACAACAGCAACCACAGCTTAAATTTCCTGAAGAAAAGAGAAGCAGGATCAAATTGAAATCCCATTTTTGATAAAGCTCAATTTTATTTTTATTGTATAATCTATCATTCCCACCCACGACCGTTCCTCCATTGATCTCCGATTTGACTGCAAACAGAGCAACAGCACGGCTCTGCCAGGCATTACAGCCCCCCGACCCCCGACCCCCCAATGACCTCCCCTCCTGAGAGCCTCCTGAAGCCTCGGTGAGCTCCGCGTCTCCCCGTCCGTGCTGCGCTGCACAGGTTTGGTTTTGTTGTTGTTTGCAGGAGAAGGAGGCTTCAATCAGAGAGACGTTTCTCCCCCCCGCCCCCCCGGCCTCGTTCGCCCTCCAAACACTGGAGCTGGAAAGGCGACCGCTTTACAATCTCGCAAAGGGATTACGGCAAAGCACAAAGATGAGTTGCCCCCATTGACACCGTACCCATCAGCGTACCTATTAAAGAGCCCCTCTTGTGTTTGTCTGGAACGGGTTGATTACAAATGGCCGTGGCCTGTTTTAAAGAAGGACACGCTACTCACGGCTCACTTCGTCTCCTCAGCGGATCGATGAGTTGGCTTTCTTGGTTTTGCAGTGAGCGAGCCAAATACAAACGTGTCCGGCCTAAAACTTGGATTCCCCCATATGAGGGATAAATAATAAGTGCTTCTATAATAATCATTTCATAATAATAATAGTAATTCGAAGACACTTGGGAATACCCCTTCAATAGGTAACATGCAATGACTTCTTTTATACTGGGATTATTATTTTCTTCTACTTTTTAGTCCAGGGGAAGACATTTAATGGACATTTTAAATCTGTTTTTGGTTGCCTTAAAATGGCTTACTCAGTGTTTGGCTTATTCTTCATTGGCCACAAATTCACAAACTAACGGTGATATATCAACTTTTTTATTTCCAGTCTATGTTGGAAACCCAATTAAATGGTGAAGTCTTCAGCTTATTCTGCTTCCAAATGGGACATAAATAGCTTCATAACACAAATAATACAGCCGACTTAAAGTAGGAACTGAGGTGCAAAGAGAGCAGCCTCCCTGCCGACGGATCCTCGAGCCGCTCCTGGAACGTGTCACGGGTGTGAACTCTCCGCAGGTAGTTTGACCTCTCACCTCCCCGGGGGGGGGGAGGACGGAGACACAAGCTTGTTATTAATACCTCCATTATTTCAGATGCCGGACCAGATGCCGGAGCGGGAGGGAGCCCAGCACATCCGGCAGGAGAAGAGCGGTCCGAGAGGCCGAAGAGCGGATCGGAGACACCGTCTGCTGGCCGTCTTTTTGACTCTTAACCACACCAAGGACTCCGAGGAGATGACGCCGCTCACTATGGAAGAATGTTAGAATGAGATAATGATAATGATGATCTCTCTCTTCAGTATCAGCATCGCGTAGAGGACATAAATAGAATGACAACACGCCAGCCTTTGTTAAATTGTTTCCTTTGGAAGTATTAATGAAACTTGTTGATGAGGTGCTACATCGTTTCTATGGGAACTGTCTTATAGATGTTTTAAGCAGATTTTTTAACACTCACAAATTGAAAAAGTGATCCTGCTGTTTAGATTAACTTTTTTGAAAAGTATCAATATAGTTGTGACCAGTTTTCCAAAAGTGTTCATCCAGTAGGAATGAATGGGATCAGAATTAAAGGAACTTTATTTATTTATTTATATTATTATTATTGTTTATTTTATTTATAATGGGTGCAGGGAGTCCTGCAATAAGAGCACTGATATAGAATGTGGTCCCTTAAAGCACGACCGTGGCCAGAAGTGCAGTTAAACACAAAGATCATCACGATGCTCGCAAAAATCGAACATGGAGTCCTGAATATCGTATCTTTGGAATTTAAATGAGAGCAATAATCCACAAGGAGAATGAGTCGCCTTTTTTAAAGAAAAGATCTCCACCCGTCGTTTGATTTACCCTTCTGTTGTGTGTGTGTGTGTGTGTGTGTGTCAACGCCTGTTGTATCAGGGATGGTTTTGCTGATTTCACTTGCTGTTCTCGCTCGTATGAAAGTTGATAAGCGTGATGGAAAGAATTCCCCCGGGGGGAGGAAGCGGTTCCTTCTCGCTATTTCCTGCGACAGGAAATTGTGTCTTTGATCCACGCCGCCGCACCCATCTGGCCATCGCAGGCGAGGCGTCGTTCTCCGGGGCCTCACACAGGACGTCCATGAAGCACACCGGACACTCAGGGGCCCAAAAGACGACATTTTCAATCAAATCTGGGTTAAGGAAGTAGGAAAGGATGAAGCTCCTGTGCAGTTCTGGGGAAAGCAGGACAGCGTGACAGATTGAATGAGAACAGTGTGGGGAGAAGATTCACACCTGCCAGACTCATAGGGAGTGTGTGTGTGTGGGGGGGGGGGTGTTTAGCGTGTTTAGGGGTCCATGTGGAGCGTGCCACATGGTCACAGATCAGTGGAGTAGACACAGGAAGCCGATGAGGTCACACTCACCGTGCATTGTGCGTGTCATTCCCCACAGTTGTTTAAACCTAATCAGATGGAGCAGGAGTCATCGGTTATGAGGTTAATAAGGCCGTTAAGACTAATGGTGTTTCTCACGGTCAGGAGAAACCTCGGAGGAACAATGTGGGCAAGAAATGTTAACTCTCGTTACAAGTGTGTGTGTGTGGAAAAAAAGCCCTTGATAGCAAACTTTTTTCCTTACGAACACATGATTTGAAAACACTGGGGTGGAAGGAAATTAGATAATCAACAGCACTCTAACAGCTGACACCTTCTAATTAGGAAGCAACTGAATGCAGGTTGCTTAATAAATGCTTCTTTTCTGCTGCTCACACACACACACAGAACAAGCAGCTTCAGGACAGTCGGGTTACTGGACTGACTGGAGTGCTTGCGGTTCAATATGGAACCGGCTTGTGGACTTCATTTGGGGTGAGTTCTGGCACTTATTGGCAATTTTTGTTGAGTTTCTGTACCATTTCTGAGTGCGTGTCTTGTTTTCTGTGCAGAATATTGCTGATTTGCTTAGTTCAGGTAGAGCATTTGTGGGCTACGAAAGGTGAGCAACACCGTTCTCTTCAGTTATTGGTGTGATGTATTGGTTGTGCATTAATGCGTTTTTTGTTTTCTCCTGCAGCTCCGAGACCAAGCAGCGTTTTTGCCGGGTTGGTGCAGAGCAGCTCTGAGTCAAAACCCAACTTGAATCAGGAAACTATGCCACTGCAAATATTTGGCCTTTCTACTGCTCTTATTGGTGGTGGTTCATTTGAAACGCACCATCAAACTACCATTAGCAGGGGAACTTGGTCAAATACACCGAGTACTGGCAACTATCCGTTGAGCCTGTTGGACATGGATGCTGACATAGATGCTGCTCTGCTAAACCAAATCCCTGGTCGCACGGCGACATCGGCCAGCGCGTTCGCCACACTGGTGTCTTCGCGTCTGGGCTCTGAGGCATCTAACCCGACCCGTTTGTCCTCACCAACAAGTGAGAGAAATGGAAATATCCCGAGTTGGCCGGAGGCTGGAAACCAACACCCAGAGGTCCCTATGAAGGCAGGACAAGCCCAACAAAGCTACACGCCTGCTTCAGCGCCCCACGTCACCTTTATCCCCCAACGTCACAGCCAGTCTACGGCGTCCAACGAAGCCAGTGGAACAACGAGCTTCTCCAAGCAGAGGCCCGGCAGTAAGATCTACCGCAAAACCCCCTGGCGCGGCAGTAACCCGGCGCAGGGCGCCCGTGACCTCCCTGCGTCCAGGACCTCTGCGCAGCACTTCGGACCCATCTCCATCCCCGAGCGCTTCGGTGGCCACGCCATCATACAACTGAAGGAACCCGCTGAGAAGGAGAGCGTGATATACAGTAAGCCGACCGGCAGGGCTCCCGGGCGCCAGCCTGTACGGCAGCAGGAATACGTGGACCCTCAGCGTCCCTCAGCGCCGCAGCAGATCTACCTGGACCCCCCGCGCCCGTTAGCGCCGGGGAAGGCCTACCTGTTCCCTCAGCGTCCCTCGGTGCCGCAGCAGATCTACCTGGAACCCCAGCGCCCGTTAGCGCCGGGGAAGGCCTACCTGTTCCCTCAGCGTCCCTCGCTGCAGATCTACCTGGACCCCCCGCGCCCCTCAGCGCCGGGGCAGGCCTACCTGTTCCCTCAGCGTCCCTCAGCGCCGGGGCAGGCCTACCTGGACCCCCTGCGCCCCTCAGCGCCGGGGCAGGCCTACCTGGACCCCCTGCGCCCCTCAGCGCCGGGGCAGGCCTACCTGGACCCCCTGCGTCCATTAGCGCCGGGGAAGGCCTACCTGGACCCCCTGCGTCCCTCTGTGCCGCAGCAGATCTACCTGGACCCCCTGCGCCCATTAGCGCCGGGGAAGGCCTACCTGGACCCCCTGCGTCCCTCTGTGCCGCAGCAGATCTACCTGGACCCCCCACACCCGGTAGTGCCAGGGCAGGCCTACCTGCCCCCCCAGCGTCCCTCGGTGCCGCAGCAGATCTACCTGGACCCCCCACACCCGGTAGTGCCAGGGCAGGCCTACCTGCCCCCCCAGCGTCCCTCGGTGCCGCAGCAGGCCTTCGCGGCCCCCCAGCAACCATCGGCATCATACAAGCCAGTCCGGCGTGTTCATCCCAAAGCCGTGTGGAAGAGGATCCGGCTGGGAAAAATGATTACTTCCTAATCTTCCATTCGCTTGAACACTGTTTCTGACATTGCTCTTCCTCCAAACAGATGCAGCTGTTGTCCTGTGGATATTTGCTGTTTTAAAAAGAATAAATATTTATTTTTAATCTCTTTGGTCTACCTTTTTGGTGCTGCTTAATGTCCAGCATGTGGACACTTGTGTAGGCGTGGTGCCATCTAGTGTATGTACGACGTGTTGCCTCTTAAGTCTTTTATATCCAGCTGTACGTTGTTGTGACTTCGTCTTTCCAGCTCGCACAAATGTGAAATTTAAAGACCTGTCAGCGGTTCAGTCAAACTACTTCTGTTGATGCACTACAGAACAGTGAAAGTTAAAAGTTAAAAGTTATAAAATGTACTTGCACCATCAGTTATGTAAAACACATGGGGTATTAAAAGAATTCTTTGTACATGGAATATTTTATATACCTGCATTTAAAGGTTCTCTAAACTACAATAGCTCAAACTGTACAATTAACTGGTTTCAGTGTAGTTGAGATTCTAGTCTTCGGTCAGACGCTGGACTCTATGGGGCACTAAAACACAGATCGGGTCAGAAAGGTAGAACCAGTTTACAATTTAGTCATTTAAAAAATATCAGAACAAGCAAAGTGAATCTGCTTTAGTGCACCAACAAAATTGGCACATCTTAATTTTCAGTTTGTACTTTAGCAGTTGAGTTTTTGAACAGTTTATTCGACTGTAAAATTAAGACCATACTTGCGAGCAGGAGGCTGTGAGGTTCTTGTCTGAGGAATAAAGGTACTTTAGTGAAACAGGATTAAGTCTTTCCCCACACTCGTCAAACCGGCTGAACTGATGTTCGGCAGCACGTGGCGTTTCCCGCTGACCCGACAAAGTCACCCTGCTGTTTGGAGTTTGATCGTACTTACTAGTCAAACTACCAGCGGAAACAAACGTCACTTTTCTGCTTTTTTGGAGTCTTTTGCACATTTTGTTCAAGTGAGTCGTTGCCAGGTTTTGACTCTGAGCTGCTGCGCACCGACCCGGCTGCAGAATAGACTCGCTTAGCAGGCTGAGAAGAGGTTCCTCTGTAGTGATTACCCCAAAAGAGCCCCACAGGCCATGTCTGTGTTCAAAGGTAAGCAGCCTGGTGAAATCAACAGCTGCCCAACTGCCTTGAATCTGTTCTTCAATTAATGTGTTTCCTGCTTCCAATCACTGCTTAATGAGTCTCCCTAAAGATTTGCAAAGCATTCAAATAAGCATTCAAAAGAAAACGCTTTTGGGTAGAAAGACTGGTTATAACGACAGAAATAATTAAAAAATAATGAAAACATATATATTAGAAAAACTTGTTTGTTTAGTTGTTAGTTGCATTGTTTAGTCTTCAAATTAAATTCCCCTTCGATACGCGCTGAAAGGTTTGGTGCTGAAAGGTGTCCCGTATGGACTTCTGTGCCGCTGCTCCTGGAATGATTGACTGATTGATTGACTCTCAGGTACACAGGATACACGTTATGCAGTAATTGGAAGCAGGGAGACACATTGATTGGATGCAGGTTGCAATAAATTCTCACGCACACACACACACACAGAGCAGATTCAGGGCAGTTGGGTTGCTGCTTACCTTTGAACACAGACATGGCTTGTGGAGCTCTTTTGAGGTAAAGTTCTGCTGATTGTTTAATAACTGTTGAGTTTTTGTACTGTTTGTGACTGCATGTCTTGTTTTCTGTGCAGGATCTTGCTGATTTGCTTAGTTCAAGCAGAGCGTGTGCGTTGTTTGTGGGCTGCGAAAGGTGAGCAACATACTTGACGTTGGTGTGATTTATCAGCTGTGGATTTATGCTGCTCTTTTTTTTTGTTTCTCTTGCAGCTCCGAGACAAAACGGCAACATGCATGTTGGCTTCTCCCAACACAGTAGTGTGTTTGGTGGCAACTATCCCGAGAACGGACCTGAACAGACCTCCGGTTATGTGGGCTCGGCCCAGCGGGGTAGTTTCGGCGCAGACGCTGGAGTTGGGAGTGTTTATAGCCAGAGATTTCCCAGTAATCACTACAGACAAACCTCTTCTCAGCCTGCTAAGCGAGTCTATTCTGCAGCCGGGTCGGTGCGCAGCAGCTCCGAGTCAAAACCTGCCAACCGGCCAACGACTAACTTGAAGAAACAAAATGTGCAAAGGACTCCAAAAAAGGCGAACTGTGACGTTTCTGCTGGTAGTTCGATTAGCCAGTACGATCAAACCCCAAACGGCAAGGTGACTTGGTTGGGTCAGCGGGAAACGCCACGTGCTGCCAAACATCAGTTCAGCCTGTTTGACCCGAGCGCTGCTGAGCCGAACACGGTCCCTGCCCGGACGCAGACGTCAGCCAGCGGTGCCGGTAGGCGAGCGTCTCCACGTCGTGGCCCTGCAGCCTCCAGGCCTTCCTATTTCTCCGCTCTTCAGGACGAGTGGACTAGAAAGGCCCCCGGCAGGGCGAGCGTGAACGCTCGTGTCCTCCCGGCGTCCGGGTCCGGCGGCGCGGGGAACTCTGGTCGCGTCTCCCACCTGACAGGAGCCCACGACATCCCTCCGCAATTCGGGGGCTTTGCTATCCGACATTTGAGAGAACCTGCTGACCAGAAGGTGGGTGTCAGGAGGCCTCAGCAGGTGCACGTGGCCCCCCAGCGGCCCTCCTCATCCCACAAGCCACCGGTGCACAGGGTTCACCCGGCTGCCACAAGGATGAGGCTCCGACCGCCTCGGAAGTAGCAGGCGAGTGCTTTGCAACATCACGCTGTTCTATATGCTTAATCACGCCCTGAAATGTTTGATCTTTCTCCAAATAGGTCCAGCAAGGATTGCGGGATCACAGATTTGAAAATAAATTCTTTTAATCCATGTTGTGTTCTGAATTCTCCTGTGTGTGCTTCTAGTTCTAATGCATAAAGCGTCTTGCAAAAGGTGTGGAAGCTCATTTCTGCCACAAAAAAATGAAGATATGTGCAGTCTCCTTCATAGTTCAGGACAGTCTTTCCAAACTTGACAAATACCTTTCCTGCTTTTATTACTTTGGTGTCTGACGTGAAAGTATGTACATCGTTCAGTTTGTCCTCGGCGAGTCAGTTTCACAGGAATCTCGCAGCATCAGTCCTGCTGCAGTCGGATTAAAAATGAAGCGCAAAGCCGCGGCTTAAGCAATTATTCGATGACGGCAATTTCTTTTCTACACAGAGTACAAGTAACATTAACTTGTGCTTGACTGTTTAGATGTTGAAGCCAAATTATTCCATTAGAACTAAACTCGTAGCTGTTTGAACCAGATTTCTTTATTGGAAGAATTATGCATGCAAAGGTTTCGTGTCGGTCCAAAGAAATGTAACCTAAATACTGTGCTAAGTTTTAACATGAAGCTAAAATTGACTTGTGGCCACATGAACATAACTTTTTATAAACTCATATGGGAACTTGGACACCATAACTTCTAGTACTGAGCCTTTCTATGCTTACAACTTTATGGCGCTTAATACTATGATGTACCCTACTACCGTTAATTTAAACTGTACTAAAGACTGATCTATGCTGAAAGAGTACACTTAAGTCAAGTGTCATTCTATACCAGTTTAAAGTACGGCATTTACTTTGACATGCTATGGTTTTAAATAAGTAGTCTTTATTTTAAAGAGACAATGGTGTTAAACATTTCTCCATTTAATACATTTAAATAAAATGACAAAACTCATGCATTGGCACCCCGGTCGGTTTTGTCAGGCCTTTATTGAAGTCTCAGAACCACAAAGACCTGCAACCAACCTGACAAAAAGAACTGAAGTCAGTCAAAGACGCAGCTGAAAGCACTTTTTCCTGCTCCCTCCTGTTCTTCGTGATGAATACCTGTTGGCCGCCGTATCCATAACCACAACATGATGGAAAAAGCTCTTCTATTGACCCTGAAATCACATCTACGAACACCTGAAGGATCCCGGTCAGGTCTGTTACAGTGTGTGCCCGTCTGTAGCTTGAACGCCTTTGTGATTCTTCCATCGGCTGCAGCGCCACATACTTAAAAATAGACGCGTCCATCTCGTAAAATAAATATACGCAAAGTGTGACTAAAAGCACAGGGTCCACACGCCCTCCGTATTGTTTTCAAAGCACTGTTTGCAGCAGTTAAGAATTTAGGCCATTTGATATACACACCAAAAATGAAAATCTACTGCTAGAACAAAATAGCGCACGGCTGCGTGCATGAGCCGTTTACAACCACAACACATGTTAGTGAATCGTTTGAATGAAACAGATTCTAGCGTAGACGATGTAACAGACCAGACCTCGTCCAAAACTAACGTCCACACAGACGCAAAGACACTTTACTGACATCTCAACTAGATTGAAAGTCGGGGTGTGAACGTATGACAATGGAGGAAGAAACATGTAAAAAGAAAACAGCCACAAGTTATGAAAGCTAATATATAAAGTACAAAAAGTTGCAGTATTGTTCTGTGCCGTCATGCAGGTTAAAATACGGTAAAAACTGGTGCCTCGCTAATCTATAATTTATAAAACAGTGATTTTGGCATTGAGACCAAATGATTTCAACCCACGCATTGTGTGTCAAGGACACTAAATATTAGCATCAACATAAAATTCTGGAAACTCAACAATACCCCAAAAACATGAGAATATCAAACCAGTATGGAAATTAATTAAAAAACATATAGTGCCAAACTCAAACTACTGAAATATCTCAATGGCTTTATTCATTTACTCCTCTAATCCTTAACTTGAGTCTCTGGTTATTGATAATATTTTAAAATTCTTATATAGTGTATTGCACTTTGTGTTTGCATGCGTCACCGACAGACAGTCCAGAGGACAGAAGGGCCGGCTCACAGCGGCCTGTAACAGGCGTCCGGCTGCCACATCCGCAGATCCACCACAATCTGGTTCAGCTTCTTCATCCACAGGTTCCGCTCGTCCTTAGTGTCTGCACACAGCCAGTTTCTGCACAGAAACACAAATCAGCCCTCAGCAATACGGTCAAGGTCTTCACACGTGTCGTTTTATACCCCAGAATTGATTCCCCAGAAGAAGTGAAGATCGTAAGAACTTACTTGGTGACACACATGGTATTCTGGCACTGGCTGACTAGAGTTTCTTTGTCGTCCGCTTTCTGTGGTCGGACCGTGATGAGCTCAAAGGTGTTGGGTCTGGCACAAAACTCCCGGTTGGCCGGTTCCACCTTCTTGCTGGTGCAGTTTGCCAGGTTGATGCGTCCAATGGGATTCTGACAAACAGAGAAATAAAAGAAACACGAGGTGTTAAAAGACAGTCAAACCCTTTCAGGTTGTTCGCAAAAACACCACCAGAAGTTATGTTTGTATTGGTGAAACTTTCTAGCATCGACGGGCTTCTCATCAGAAGAGGATAGAATTGGACCGCATGCCAACATTTAAGAAGCCAGTCTCATCTTGAGCGTCGTCAGAGACAATTTCACTTTCTTAAAAGAAAACATTAAAATTCTGAGCGAATGTAACAAGTTGTAATGGATGACTAGTCACTGGTAAATTCTTTTAAAAGTAATCGAATTCTGCTACGAGTCCTCTAGCGTCCACACTCCCAACGGGCTGCGATCCACAGCCCCATGAAAATATCCACAACGCCGCCGTTTGGGTCGATGCAACATGTTTATTTATAAAGCTGCAGGCTGCTCACACGCGGCGCCCTCGTACATGTGTTTTTGCTTAAATCCTCCTGCACACATTTATGGCAAATATGGCATTTCATAAAACACGAGCCCTCGGGACAAAATGAAGAAGCAGGTACCTTGCGCTTCTCGTCGTCCGGGTACGTCCAGTAAGAGATGCAGTATCCCGACAGGACGCACCACCTCCTGTGCCAGGCTCCAAACCCGCTCACATCCTCAAACATCGTCTGGAGGAGGGAGGGGGGGGGGGGAATTCCAATTACAACACGTTTGTATCGTGACGTAGCAAAACAATACCGTGCGTCGGTTCATCTGCGGCGAGGAACTGATCGGCCCGCACTCACCAGGAAGCCCTTCTCCTCCACTTTGGAGCCGACCTCACACTGCATCTTGAGGTAGACGTGGCCCTCCAGGGGGCACAGGAACGGCACCTTGGGACAAAAGTAATGACACTTCATTCCACGCTACGACATCATGTTCACCATCTGAGTAATGTTTACAGTTACGAGACAGGGTTAAATATGTATAGGTTAATAAACGGTGATTAAAAAGGCAATAAGAAGTGATTTGTGTCCAGACGGAGCTCATGATGTTAGTGTCACAGTTCAAGATGTTCCTTGTTACAGTGTGTTCACCTTCCCACACAAACAGAACATACAACACGGCCATGTAGTAACCTTGGTATGAAACATGTCACTGAGTAGTTCCCTTTCACATCCTTCATATTTGATCTAAAGGAAAGACATTAAGGCTGGTGAGTGAGTGCAGAGGAAGAACAACCGTGGTTACTGAGAGTCACTGTGGGGCCTAATATACGGGTGGGAGTCATGTGATGACCTCCTAAGGGACACGAGGAGATTATACAAAAGTGACAATAATTGTTTTTATACCTTCTCCAATGGGAATTTGTTCGTGCCAATAGATGACAGGGTGAGCTTGTGCGATCCGACCAGGACGAAGTTACTGGTGCGAACGGCATTGGGGCCTCCTGGACTCGCTACAACTACACGCAGACAGAAGAAGCACACCATTAATAAGGGACAAACAAACATTTTTCCTCTCACCCGTTGTGGATGTGGATCTAGATTGCTTTGGTTTCAGTTGCCTCAAGAACTTTTTAATAATTGAAATGGTTGTTGCCATTTTACTCTTATCTTTTATTTAAGTGCCGTATCGATCAAGTATTTCTTTAAAAACAAAAAAAAAAAAACGTAAGGCCTCCGTTCACCATCTTCTTTGAGATGGATTCAAATGAGAGTTTAGATTGAATGCTTGAAACTTACCTGGTGTCTGAGCACTTTTCTGCAAGACAAGAGGTCAAACCAGCGAGTTAATATACAAATGTAAGGCAGATGAGTAGTAACATGCATTACATTTATAAAAAGGATAAAAAGCTAAAATACATTTGAAATACTTACAGTGATGGCGAGGAATCTCTTTGGAGTGATTGCCTGGAAAAATAGAAATAAAGCAAATATAAAAATATTTGTCAGGCCTTTATTGAAGTTTATAAAAATAAGTATTTTTGCTTCAAATAGACAATTTGGAGTGGCAGTAATTTAACTCGTGAATATAGTAAACATTTCTCTCCACTGAATGAAATGACCACCTGAAACTGAGACATTTTTTAGACCCGGTGCAGACCCACCAACATGTGAGGGATTTAATACAGAAGCTGTTCATACCGACATACACATATAATGGGCCTCATGAACCTCTCTCCATATCATCTGGACACGGACACACACACACACACACTGTATGTATTACACAAAGCTCCATGATTCAGCATCTTTTCATTTGGTGAAGAACGCAAACTGGGTTTACCTTTGACTTGCTGGGTTTCTTCTTCTTGTCACTGCAGACGTCCCGCTTCTGCACCTGCAAATGTCATTAGTTAATATATAAGCTCAAACTGGATCGGTGGTCTGTGATTCAATATATCAGCGCAATAGTACAATTTTGATCCGGAGAAGAAATCAAAACTAAAAGCAAGTGAGATTCATCACAAAACAACTACGACTGAACAAATTCATAACAGGTTTTAATTTTGAGTTAAATCATAGTAAACATATTAGATATGTGATGTGTAAACTTTTATGGAACACTCACCAAGCAGTAGACCTCAATATCAATTTCAAAGTTGCTAGAGACATCCAATCTAGAAACGAGGAGGAAAAAAAAATGATGATCAACGTCATCACATCAACAAATTAAACTATTGATTCTAATAAAAACAATTATGTGTTTTAATGTCTGAATCCCGAGCTGCTTCAAGTGTTCTGTTCTTTACGTTAGCGTCTATCGAGGGTTCTGGATGGAAGATTTCAATATACGTCGTGATATTTTAAGATCAAATACGCACAGTGTAAAATCCACAAACACAATCCTCAATTTGAATGTTATTTATTAAAAATGATTCTGAATCACAATAAAAACAACAATCAGTCAAACGATGCGTGTTCTTTGATGGGACTTACATGGTGAACTTGGTGGGGAAGGCCAGGGTGTCCCCACTGAGCCCCCGGTGGGTGCTGGCTAAAGGCGTAGCCACGGTGTTCTCTGCTCCGGCGCGGATCATCAGGAAGAAGGAATGTTTGGTCGATTCTGAAACGACATCGATAAAAACCGTCAGCACGTTGCAGCGTTGCTTTAAAAACAACGAAGTCCCCGGTTGTGAGCGTCTGGAGCCGACCTGGCTTGTTGGCGATGGAGCAAACGAAGTCCGCCTTGAGAGGCAGCCGCAACTCCTGCAGGGTGACGGAGCCCTTGGAGGCAGACGTGCCGGAAGGTTCTGCAGCCGCAGAGGACTTCTTCTGGCCCTTTGGGTCTCCTCGCAGACCGTCCAGCTCTGCCTTCAGCGCTTCCCTCCTCTCCGCTAGAAAGGTCCAAAGGACAAGCTTCATACTAGTCAAAATCAAAGCTGTGGGCCCTTAAATGTAACATATAGTCTAGATGATCATGGCTACAATCGGCAGTTTGAATGCTTTTTGCATTCCATGTAACCGAGTGGCAGCACGCTTTATTTTTTTGTGTGCTTCTTCACATTGAAAATTTAATTGGTTAGGCGGCACTTTAAGTCAAACAGGTACATGCATTGCATTTTCCATAAAAACAGATGCACTTGTTTTCTGCGACTAAATGCTGCGCAGGGGCTCCGACGGTCGACTCACTTGCCACCAGCAGCAGCCTCTCGGCCTCCGCCTCCACCTGGGACCCTTTGCCGTGCTCCTCATCTGTGCAGCAGTTCAGTGCCTGACTGGCCTGATGAATGACAGTCTGCTGCAGGTTCAGCTCGTTTGTCAGAATCTACAGGAACAAAAAGGAACTCCTTGTGATGAACCAGAACATGTAGTTAAATAAAAAATAAGGTTTAAAGTGCTTGACAGGAGTTCACAAGAAAATTGTGCTGCTGGGGCCGATGAAATTGTGTGAAGTAAGAAAGCAAACGCAAAACACAACAAGGCCGTGTCGGCCGGCTACTCATTCCTGGGTTTTAGGACTCTTCCCCGCAGCACTCATGAAGCAAAGTGAAAAGTCTTCCGTCCAAACCTTCATCTTCTGCTTGATGCTGGGGAGACTGGATCCTGTCGGTTCCTCTGCTCGGCGAGAAACGTCCTCCTTTCTCACAATCACCTGTTTCACGCTGGATCTCTCGGCCTCCTTCACTCTGGTGGACCTGTATGCAGAAATGCTAAAAAAACAAACACACGCAGGCGGATGAGAAACACACACTTCCTGCCAACTTGAATCCATCAGATGGGAGCGCCGACCTATATGGCAGTTTGTGGTCCTCGTCCAGGGTCTCGGAGGAGCCGGTCCGCTTTATGTTGGTTCTCTGGAACTTGCTGGGTTTGGAAACATTGCCGGGCGTGTCGCTCTTTGCGATGAAGGAGCTGGCCGGAGTAGACGCCTGCAGACAGGTGGGGGAACTGTTTTAGTTTGGGGCGCTTCGTGTCATGTTTGCCTCTAGGTAACTCCAACAGGAAGTAGATGCGAGTGGAGAGAGAGGGAGACATTGGTGCTAGTGCCTACCATCATCTGCCTCTTGGGACTATCCACCACAGCAGCCACAGTCTCTGCTAGTGGAGTGAGGAGGGACATGGAGGAGATATTCAAAGCATCTTCCTCCTCCTCCTCATCGTCATCATCACTGTGGTCCAAGGCTCTATCAAACAGCTCGGTGATAACAGCAGAGTTGATGGACTCGTCCACATTCATCTCGGTCTCCTTGACAACCTCCTCTTCTTCTGGGGGTTGGGCACTTTTTTGCTCGACAGGACGGCTGACTGCCTTTAGAGGGCTGGATGCTGAGGCGGGAGGTGACATCATCCACCCAGGAGATGCTATTGCACATTGTTTTAGTTAGTAAAGCATCCTACTTTCCCCATTTTATCATGTGGCCATTACAAGTGATACCAAACAGGTATGTGTGGCAACATCAAAAGCTGGAAACAAAAATCCAATTAGGAGCGTTACGGATGAAAGAACGACTGCCAGAGCTAAAAAACGATCACTCCAAAATCTGGACACAAAGAAGCGTCCAAACATGAAATGTGGTGGAATACCTGGAGGGGGGCACTTTCTGGGTGTATCTGCACCCTCGGGAGACGCTGCGGGTTCCTCCTGCGGCTCACACGGGGGCACATGAGTCTCCACGGGCTGGTCAAGCTGCTCCTGAAAAGCATATTATTAAATACACTCTTGCATACAATGAAAGCATGACTTTAGTGTGAGATTTGTGTGTGATGTGCTTATTGTCCAACCTTGATGTCTTCATTTGAAATGGTTTCTGCTGATTTATCATTGTTTTTCCACATGTTGTTGTTGTTCCCCTTCTGAAAGCGACTACGAATCTGAGCCAGCTCAGACTCTCGCTCCTGAAAGTATTTTCAGGTTTGTGATATCGAACAAGAAGATTGCAACAGAAAGAGCATACGTCTTAGCATCGCTAACGTTCATTTACCAGCTTCTGTCTTTGCGCGAGCTCGGCAGAGGTGGTGTTTGCAGTCCGGGCAGCTTGGAGTCGGTCCTGCACCATCCTGGTGTTCGGTGTGACCGCCGATGGAGTTGCGACGGTGGTCTTTGATTGGCTAGCACCCCCAGCTGGAGAGCCCTGGTTGGTGCGCTCCTGGCATCGCTCTCCAAAGCGCTCCAGAAAGGATTTTACACCTGTTGGGAATAAAGAGAAGGATTACATTCTATGTATTCATACATACCACCTAAACAAATTTTTTATACATCTCCTACTTGTGCACATCAGTCAAATACTAAATCGGGTCCCACAAAGTGAGACATGTCTTAACTGTTATATACTGTATATATATAACCTGGCCAATACGCAAGTATAGTAATCGGCATCAGGAGGGACAAAATGCTCTGGAAACTTTTGTAATAACGTTTTCAAGTAAAACAGTAACTTGGACAAAGCACATTTGACTTTTATTGCTGCATCTACATGAAATAATTGTGTTTTTTTTACCCGAATCTCAACTGTAACAAATAAGTAAAAAATATCGTGTCAACATGACTCACCAGGAGGGCCAGAAGCGGCGGGCTTGCCACAGAGTTCTGGTTTCTGGGGGCTGGAGGCGGGACCCCTGACGAGGGCCTGAGTCTTCAGGGGACTTTGAGGCACAGATGTTGAGGAGATGGGACCAGCTTTCTGGGGACTAGATGGGAAGGCTTTTCCCTGGAGGGAACTCTTCTGGGGACTAGAGGGGACGGGCCTCTCCTGGTTGGAAATCTTCTGGGGACTAGAGGGGACGGGCCTCTCCTGGTTGGAAATCTTCTGGGGACTAGAGGGGAAGGTCCTCTCCTGGTTGGAACCCTTCTGGGGACTAGAGGGGAAGGTCCTCTCCTGGGTGGAACCCTTCTGGGGACTGATTACGGACTTGAGAACCGGTCTGGCTGCAGGAATATCAGCCTTTTCAGTGCTGGGGAGAATCAGTCGGCTCGGCTTTGCTGGATAATTCACAACCTGTAAAGCAGATGTATTGGTTTTATTTTGTAAAGCGTCTACCAGGGCATTTAGAACCAAAACAAACATGAAAGCGGCTGCGTTGACATGGGCATGTTGCGTCAGTCCGGGGAGACAAATGCAATGTGTGCAAGATGACACTGCATTGCAGTTAAGAGCCTGATAGGACTTTTAGGGTAAATTGAAAAACAAGTTGAAACAACACCTTCTATTGAACAACAGACTACTTATGCTGAAGAAAAAGAACTTCAGGTAGGTGAGATGTACCTGAGAGCTGGGTGTAAACTTGCTGCTTGCCATTGAAGCGGCCGCCACGTGGCCTGCAGCACCTGGTTTGGTGCTGGCAGCCACAGCAGCGTCTCTGACCGCTGACTTGGGAACCGTGCTGGCAGGCTTCTCTTTGGCACTCTCCTTGGGAATGTTGGCGTGGCTCAAGTCGTCTTCCCAGGTTCCGATGGTGGCGGCGAGGTTGGCCAGCCGGCCCCTCCTCCCAACTGGAGTTCCCGAGGACACGGTGTGGACGGCAGCCGGCGGGACCTCGGCTCGTTTCTTCAGAGGGGACGTGGGAGCGCAGTCTGGAACTGCATCATGGGAGTCTGAAAAAAGGTGACAAAATGTTTGATACATGGACAAAGTGTATGACTGAGAGACATGAAAGAATGGACATCACACACCCTATTTCAACCTTTCTGGAACAAGTAAGCAACCCACAGTGAATCAGATACGGTGTTTTGCCATTTTGGTGGAAAGCTTTTGTTTAAACTTTGACCGTAGATTTGAAATCTTAAAACATATTTCATCTAAACCAAAATAAAAGAAATCCAAAAACCAGCAAAATTAAAATATTCATACCATCACCATCCCAATACTGTCTCTGCTGTGCTAGCCTCTGCAGACGAGACTTCATGCCAGCAGCAGGTGGAGCCCTGACCTCCGCCAGGTCCTTGTTCCCCTGCGGAGCTGAACTGACCATCTCCTCTTCTCTGCTGCTCGGCAGAGTCGGAGCTGGGGTCATTTCCTGCGGCTCTGGAGTTTCCAGCTGCTCTGGCTGAGGCTGGAGGGCCGGGCGGGAAGCAGCCTTCTCCAGTGAGGAGGAGTGGCGAACGCTGGCGGGCCCCGCCGGGGGTTTCTTGTCCGTGAGAGGATCCGAGAGCACGTGAGCGACAGCCAGGGACGTCGTTGGCTCCTGGTTCTCCGCGCCGGCCGGGGGCGAGAGGTTTTCCTCCGAACATCTGCGCTTTGAGGGAGACGGCTTGGAGGACACCTGCGGAGCTGGGAGGAAGTGACGGGGGAAGATGAGCAAAGAGTGGAGCTGCAGCTCGGCAGGAAGCTGGAAGCTGACAGGGCCACGCCTCAGCAGACAGCGATCAAACCAACGTGTTCGTACCTTTATCCAATACTGACTCGCTGATCACACGGTTGGTGTCGGCCAGCGGCTCTCTGGGCCGTTTGACCATCTGTCGGTTTGCTGCATTTGGTCTCTCTGCCATTTTCTTCTGCAGATTTTCTCTGCGAGCTCGGGTCCGCTCCAACAGTTTCTGGTTTGACAGAAAAAAAAGAAAAAAAAAGTAAAGAAATGTGACTCCACTTTCTGAGGGCGCAGATACAAAATGTACAAAAAACCCTATTGCAGTAACTAAATTAAATTAGAAGTTGCAAAAATGTGCTATAGTGTTGGAGAGCATTAAATTGTTGCCCTGTTATTTGGACCAGCACCAATGTATAGCAAGGGTTTGTTATAATTTTTTAATGTTTGTATTTTTCCTCTCAATTATAACGGTTTTGTGTACATTCTGCTGTATCCTTTGGAGCTTAGGAACTCTCCCACAACCAAGCAAACATTCATCTAATACAGGGATTCAGAGAATCTGCTACACCAACAAGTACTGAATCATAACAGTTCACATCAACATCTGATCACAAGTGTTCATAAGTGTTGCGTTGCCTGCATGCTTTAGTTTCACTTAAAGAAATACTTCTTCATTCTGGGAAATATGCTTATTCCCCTTCTTAGGAGTAGTTCAAATTCTTCTCCGCTCACAGAAAGAAATGAATACACCTATAACCCCTTTCTTTGATTATACATTGGCAATGTATCTTTAATACACTCTTACATAATCCAACCTGTGATCCTCAAAATGGGATGCTAATTCTGTCCCCCAAATATCTACTGAATCTATTAATGGGCTGCTAACACAAACACAAAGACCAGCCTTCTCCAGCAGACGCAAAAGGGCCCCTGCTCTTGCCCTTCTGTTGGCGTGACATTCCCTTCCTTTGGGCTCACGATCTGATTTACTGCGCAAGCCCAAACACATTCCTGCAGCCGCACCGCAACGCCTTCAGTGTGCAAAACTAGAAGTCACATTTAACAGCATTCCTCAGCAATGAGACACTCCCGCTTGTAGTCCCTGGATTTGAAATTTCAAACTCTGCTGGTTCAGATGCTGGTTACAGGTTTCTTGTAACAACAGCATGAGTGCATCTCGGACCACCTCCAGTGCTGACACACACCACTGCCTTAAATGGAGGCAGGACTTTGACTTGACTAATGTTGCGTTATGTGGGTTTGGGTGTTTCACTGCTGGCGTAAATTGGTGAAGTACAACGGGGAACTGATCAGAATGAAGCGTGGCTAAATCAACCATTTATTTAGTTATTGGGAAATGGTCAAACATGCAAACTCAATGTTGGAGGGTTAACATCAGCTACATTACGCTATAGGGCGTAGGTAACGTTAGCCGTTAAGAGGATTAGCAACAAGCTAACTGTTGGTTGTTATTTTAGATTCGTGGCTGCAGACAACTGACCAAACAAAGAAACAACATGTGATTTTTTTTCCCATTGTAAACTACATACCATTGTGAAATACTGTGTGGCAACGTCAGCATGCGATAAATTATTACCGAAGGAGACAAGTTAGTCAGATTAAAGCAACCAATATAATAAGTATGTTATGTTAGCATAAGCGAGTGACGTCAACATTACGTTAGCTAAAGTGAACGCTACAAAATACCCGCTGTTAGCTAACTTTAGTTTACGTTAAACTTACCTCGGTAAATGGATCCATTTCGTGTTTGTATATCCCTGTCGATCGATATTTCAACAACAGTGTTTAAACGCTGTACATACAAGGCGAGGAAAAGCTGAGCGGCTCACAGCTTCCCTTTTTTCTTCTACTCTCCGCAGTCGAAAACTGTTCAAATTTGAATTTCAGCGCTGCACCTACTGCGCATGCTCCAACGGTCGGAAGCCCTTGTGAACCAATCAGGATCAAGACGCCGTGCTTTACACTTGAACAGCCTATCACAAACCGGGGGCGTGGAAAACCAATATGTCACCTTACAAGAAGGCGTCGCTCCATCATTCACCACACATGTGCTTTATGAATCAGCCATCTGTGTATTCAAATGCTAAAGCGGTTAGAAAACCTCCGCTGACCGTCACCACCTTCCGCAAACTGCCACATGGGCACAATGTAGATTTACAAGGCGTGTTGTGGTTTCATACATTTAGATGGATAATTTGCTCAGTTCATATTTTAGTCAAAAATTTCCTCTTGTTAGTTATTGGAACTATTAAAAAGGTCACCACATTGAATGTCAGAGTGAACTATGAGTAATTTACTAACCCTAATTAATGTAACAACAACACATCTTTTTATAGCTATTTTGTGGATTGTATATTTTCCTATTGTTTTATTTACCCCACATATTTGAATTATGAGTCGTCCATAAAGGATGAACTAAATTGTTTACAAACCCCCAACAGGACAAAACGGCCTTAATGCTAACTTTTCCTCAATGGGACTTCATTTCCCATGAGTATCTACGTGTATGACGTAGAGAGGTGGTCATCCTCGACACCATGGCAACAGATCAGTCAATGCAGGGACCGCACCACACGAACGGCTCCGGTCCTGTCCGCTTGTGTGAGACTCGGTGTACGCGGTGTCCTTCATGTCAGCGCGGCTGTTTATACACTTATACACAAAAGTGTGTGTGTCGTGACACGCAACGTGAGTCGTCACAGGTAATTTGATTTCGGGCTTTTAATCGGCCAACATTAGCCGGCTTATTTAACGTTAGCTAACGTCAGGTTAACTTTGGTAAGAACGTTTGTATTCTATCCGTCGACACCGTGTTTTTTTTTTTTTTTTTTAGGTTGAAAGGAGCCTTAAAGGAGGATGCTGGAGTCAATCAAGGTGACAGGTAACGTAGCATTCTTGTGTTTGTCTTATTTTCATTTTTGTGTAGCTAGGAGCTCAATTATTTGAATAAATCCGGGACATTGATAACTGAAAAAATACATTGATATTGACGATTATAGTCAGTTACAACTTAATGGTATGTATGCAGCATCATCTAATCAAAGTTAATTAAGGGATGAAGGGTGAAATCAGAGCTCACAATGCATAATTGAGCTATTATCAATAGGAACATTGAGCATATATAACGTATTTTATAACATATTTTGTATTTCACACATTTGTGTTGTAAAGACTCCGTGCTGACTCATGCTGATTAGTGCTAATCGTCTGCTTTAAACGGACAATAGCGCATCATCGATGATGATGATGATGGACGTGACACTTGAGCATTGATTCATTTTGTTGTGCAGTCCAACCACGTTCAGGTTCATGACCGTGTTTGCTCTCATACATCTCATCTTGTTACTTATTCCTGTGATCTGAGAGCAGCCTCTCACATCAGGTGAAAGCCGAATGCTGAAATACGCAGCTGACGTGTTAGATAATAGTATTTTATTGGGAACGATGCTCAAACTTATCCTTGTTGTTGAGGTCATCGGTCCGTGCTGCCTGTGGTTGCATAGATTCCGCTTCGGTGCTCCTGTCCGAACAGCGTGCCAGCTCCCACTGTGACGATGTTCCAGGTCATCATCCTGGAAACTGCGAAGCCTCTCCCTCTGACTCTTGTGCTTTACTGTCAGTCTCTCAAGACACGATGAGAACATTTCCTCTGTGATGGCAGAGAAGGACGAGACTGGTCATCTGCATCAGATTATGATTGATTAAAAAAAAAAGGGAGAAGATAGTTGCTAATTTCGGGATTAAGTTCCCAGCACTGATAACAAGTTGTGGTGCACACAAACTGTATATTAACAAATCTTTATTTTAGCTTGGCATTGGAATACATGCCAACACATGAATAATTGTATCCTGCCTTGATAAGAGGATTACTCTATTAAGCTATCTATAAAAGATCTGTATGTGAAGGTGATCTAAGCAGCCAACAGATTCACTCTCTCCTTACTGGTTTCTTATCTTACTTCTTTCAGAAAGACTCCACTGGCCAGAGGTAGAAATGTCCAAAAAGTACATCTTAAACTCTGCTGAAAACGCAGTGAGTCCAAGCCAAGTGTACCTGGAGAAGATTTCATCTGGTGTCCTCAAAGACCTTTGCAGCACCGGCTCCAGCAACTACAACGTCCTGCTGCAGAACGATGAGAAGAAGAACCAAAAGCAGTCCTTGTGCAAGAGGCCAAGAACTTCAGTGAAATGCGGCGCCGCATCTAGCAGAAGGAACCGCCCGGTCGTGGCTCCTAAAAAGTTGCGTCCGCCCGAAAGTGTCGGTAGACCCGCGCAGACCAATCGCGTTCTCCCAGGCAACTCCCATCCCTCGAAACCAGCGAGGAACATCGGCGTAGTGGGCAGCGCCGTGGGCCTAACCCCTCGCGCAGGTCCACAGCTGAGAAAAACGTGCCCCCCCGGCTCCCCCCGAACTAAACCGCCCGCGTTGCAGAAAGCAGCAACACCTCGGGAAGTGGAGAACGTCAGGAAGCTCTGCCTCCTCGCAGCCATCAAGCCGTCTAATGTTCAGAAGGAGAAGGCCACGTTTTTCAAGTCCGACTTCACCTACAATCCACAGTTTGAGTACAGCAACCCAGTCCCACCGCTTGTCCTGGGACGCCACAACAGCGCCTCGGACCGCTTCCTGACACAGGTGAGGGTGCGCCTGTGTTGAGAAAAATCAGTTTGGTGGCGTAGCAACAAATAACCTTTAATTGAAAGCCTGGTGTGTTTCAATGGGAATGCATCTTTTTTATCTGTGTGAGGGCACGGACGACATGTCCTCCTGTATTTGAACAAAGGATCAAACGGCCCTGTGCAAAATGAAAGGGTTGTCTCTGAATTGTCGACTCTGCAGTTCCTCATCCAGCAGCTAAAGGGACGGCTATTTTTGCGAGGGATGGGTGGAGACCAAAACAGCAATATTTAGCTTTCATCAAACGTGTAGTTAAGTTTCACCCCTGGGTTACTTTGGATGTCAAACACAAGTTCCCCATTAAGTCTATGTGTTGTCCTGAAAGTATCAGAGGTGCTCCCTTCAAATGAATGGAACCTATGGTCAGTAAGTGCAGAAACGCACTCATTTTGGCCCCAGAGGCAGTGACACGTCATTAATCACAGCTACAACAAAGTCCCTGCCGGATGAGGTTGCTGCAGAGCCGGCTGGTTCGAGATCAGCGAGTCGAGCCTTGCTGCCAAGGCTGTTTAGCGTCAGGGGCAGATCTCAGGCTGTTGACTCAGGGAAAGAAGAAAGCGGATTGGGATCCATTTCAAGATTGTTTGTTTGTTTCTGGGAAGAACAAAAAAACAGCCGCAGTCTTGGCTGGTGCGTCGTTGTCTAGGCCTCAGGCTTTAGGCGACGGTACACTTCAGTGTTATAAGCGAAGCGTGAAATTAGATGTATTTTTGTCAAAGTGACCTAACAGCGGCATGTAAATAGAAAAATAGATTGGACCGGGACCAAGCATAGAACCTTGACGTACCACAGAGATGAGTTTCCCAATAAGTTGCAACTTCTATATTTGAATATATAAATATATACTTAGTTAAAGAATGTAACAGTTATTACTGCCCAAGAGTAATCCAAAGAATCAACAACAGAAGGTGTCAGAACATTTGGGACATCAGGGCTGTCTCGTCTCTCGTAGGCAGTGCGCATCATGGAGCTGGCCCTGCAGCGGTACGGCAGCTATGAGAAGTTTGAGCAGGCGACCGGGGGCGACCTCCTCACCAAGAGTCGCGTGTGGCACGACATCAAGAAGTACATGGAGAAGGAAGGCTGCGTGGGGGAGGTAAGCGGGCGGGAGGCCGAGGCTCCACTGCAGTACGTGTCGTGCAGCGAACTCGTACGTCGTTATTGCAGAAGAGCAGGCCGAGGGAAAAGGAAAAGTAAGTCCTCGCAAAGAGAAGTCTCCCTGAAGTTTGCCTGCGCGGCGCCGTGATTATGTAACCCTGAAGAAACACACGTTACATCATCGAGTTATTAATGTTCCACCGGACGCATTACATCACACATACACACACACCGTGTATGCCTGTGTGAAGTCTTGAAGACTGAAGAAGAAGTGGGAATAATACTTTGCGGACCCGACCCGAATGCAGCGACACACACAGGCCGACTACACGCGTCTGAATGTGTGCGCCCATGCAGACACTTAAAGCACATAACACTCACTGTTAACATCCTCGGGTTCACTGGCAGCCGTGATGGTTTGAATAGTTGTGCAGTTGAATGAGGAACAATAAAAACCATCCCGGATAAGTCAGTCACACACCTTTTCTCATTGTGTATCAAATGAAAATACAAAAAGTAAAGTGAATGTGTATTTCTCCGTGTTGGAAGATCGTAGCCCAGGTGACCGACGACCTCCTGTCCAGAGCCTCCATGACGGTGGTTAACAGCAGACCCACACTGACCATCAACATCTCCACAGCCAGAGAGCACTGGCTGGAAGGCATGCTGCGGCACGAGATCGGTGAGTACGGCAGCTCCCGTACGGGACTTACGCTGTCAAAAAGCAACCTTGGTAACAGTCCTCGTGACCGTCCGCCAGGCACACATTATTTCCGTGGCATCAACAACTGCCACCAGCCGTGGAGCAGCAGCGTGGGCAGGAAGAAGCACAACCTGAAGCCTGCGAACCCCACGGAGGAGGGCCTGGCCAGCATCCACAGCGTCCTGTTCAGGAAAGACCCCACGCTGTGGCGCGCCGCCCTGCTCTACTACACCGTCTATCAGGCCAGCCGCATGTCCTTCTCTCAGCTCTTCCGCAGTCTGGGACGCTTCGTCCAGGACCCCAACACGCGCTGGGACTACTGCGTCCGAGCCAAGCGGGGCCAGGCCGACACCGCGCAGCCAGGTCGCTACGCTCGCACACTAAACGTGGAGACGATCCAGTTGATATGTCTGGAATTGGCATTTGAAAACTCACGCCTCCTTTTCTTACCTCTCACAGGCTGCTTCAGTAAAGACCAGGTCTACCTGGACGGTATCCTGAAGATCCTCAGGTACAGAGACAAGATCGACTTCCCGCTGCTGTTGGCTCTGGGGAAGGTGAGGTAGCTCGACCATCTCCTTCCGGCCGCATTAGAACATTTACTGATGACCTAAGCGGCCGCTCCCTCGAATGATTGTCTGCGGATGCAAACGATTTTATGAGATGTCGTTCACCACCGAAGGGAAGCTGGCGGCAACTGCAACCTGCCTCTAGTTCCTCCCCTTTAACGAGTCAATGCCTGAACTCATATGTCCCCCTCTGACATCTTTCACATGTAGCTTAATGTTTGCTGAAACCGGACGCTGGCACCCCTCCCCTTCTTAATATCTACACAGCTTCCTCAGCTCCGACATACGATGATGACAGTAGTTCAGTATCATCAAAAAGCTGTTCTCCTTCCTCCATGTCATGTGGGTGACGTTCTGTTTTCTAATAGCTTGTCTTCCCTTCTCTCTCCGCGGGCTGTAGTTGTCATTGGAGACTGGGACCCCCTAAGAAGCCCTCGCCCAGAATGGAACACTTCCGCTTCCCCCACTTCATGCAGGCCCAGGCGATTTCCGGGGAGCAGCGGGAGAAAATCATGGCGGTCACCCAGCTGCCCGAGGAGAGGCTAAGGCCCTATATTTGAGCGGGTTTGTTCTCCCCCCCCCCATTCCCCACCCCCCCCCCCCCCCCCCATCCTCCATCCCAACCCCTGAAGGAGACCAGCACGGCCCGCATGCCTCCACAGCGTCATCCTGCCCCCGGCAGCAGACAGTGCGTGTTTGACGGATCCGTTAGTGGACGTTGGCTCTGATTGGTAGATCATCAGTGTTATCGTTGTTTCTCCACTGACGCGTCAGCGTGTTAGCGAATCGTTCCAGCGTTGTGATGACTTTTTTTTTGTGCCGGTGCCAATGCAACACTTTTGCTGATGAATACAAATAATGATTTTTAAAGAGTATTTTTTTTTTTTTTTCCATCACATTCTTTGATAGTTTTTATTAATATTTCCCCAAAAGCTTGTTCTAACATTATGACCTAACTTAATGACGTAATAGTTTGCTAATATTTCTAATATTATATTACTCTCTTTACATATAAATATGTGCACATACGTCTGTCTACATCTCACGTGTGGATCTCTATACACTGATTTAATCACTGATTTGTCCGTCATAATTAGCCGATGACATCAGATGTGATTTAACCGTCGGGCTCTGTCAGTCAGAATGATGCCACAGAAGCATCTACAATTAAATAATTCTGACTGACTGGAAACTTCTCGAATGCCAATTTGTGGACATGTGCATGAATATATTAGCTTAAGCATCTAAAACACATTGATCTAGTTCTAATTTAAGGATTCTTTGTCCTTCTGTGATGCACCTGTGATCTAAGTGTACTTACCTTGTGTTTTATATCCGTCTCTTTAGTCCAGACGAACACATTCTTGCACTTTTTTTTATCCTCTAGCAACCACTTAGGGTTTCTATTTTTGTAGTACGGATGATAGGCATTAAAAAACAGAAGGTTGTTGCCGGAGAGAAAGGAGGTGAAGGCAGGAAGATTCACAGCAGCTCTGCCTTTCTAGAGAGAAATGGACAGATAACGTGCGAGTGCTTCATCAGCCGTTCACAGCCGAGCTGTCGGCATTCTGCTACATTCGCCGAGAATAAAATGTCCTGTGAAAAGTCTGTTTGGAGGTAAATTCCTGTGAAGTGCAGTGACCTGAAGCCCTGTTTGACTCTTTGCACTTCGTGACCTTCGCAGTTACTGTGTCGGTGTCTTGGACAGTGTAAAGGAAGTGGGTGTAGTCACCGGGATGTGCCCGGAACATTTGGGAATTTTGGCCGTCGCCATCTTCTTTTGGAGCTCGAAGTGAGCACATTTGGACGAGAGGGCGTCAGGGTCATCAATCACCCCACATCAATCAATAGTTATTATTATTATTAGTTATTTACTAAACGAACGTCATGCTGTAGTGAAGAAGACTTTGAAACAGGGCTGGAGATCATAAAATAATGTTTGAAATGTTGGAATCAATCAGCTGGGACGTCATTTTCTCATAGACTTCTATGCAATCCAAACGGATGTGACATCCGAAAGCAGTCGCTCTGTTGGACATAAGAAAGAATGAAAGTTTGAGGCACTTCTGCATTGGCTTCACTTTCCAGACCCGGAGGCCACGTCCACTTCTTTTGTGCGTTCCATGTTTGGTGTCATTTGGAATATATTCATGTTTTACGAAACAAAACAAAAGCCTCGTGGTTTTACCGATACACTTGATGAGTACTTGATGTGTTGACTCTGCTCTTTAAATAGTACAACTTTAATTACACAACATTCCTATGTTATCTACTTCAGTGTCTTTTTTTGTGTGATTTTAAATCTTCAAATAAAGTTGACTACCTGAAAATGTGTCCAAAGTCTTTCTTTGTTTATTTTTGTATGAGCATCCTTCACGTTCATAACGCAGAACACTGAATGTTGGGTTTCTATTCATCAGCAGTCATGACGTTGGATTGGTTTCATAAAACATCCCGTTTCCCAACTTCTCAGTGTCAGAGATCAGTGAGGAAAGTTACCGCAGTGACTAAATCTGTCCCAACACACGCTGCGGCCTCTCCGAGCGACGTCCACATGGCGTGTTAACCATTTACCGGCGTCTGGTTCCACCGGGGAACCGGAGACAACCGGAGACACGCCGCACAGCAGGTGTCAGTCCAAAGTACACAGCAGACACACTCCCGCCTCCGTACACGTGCACGCCTAAAAGAGAATTCGCTCTCCTTACAGGATCCCGTGTGCGGGATGCATGTTTTTCAGCGTTGCGCTAATCCACTTTATTTGCAAGGAATCGAAGAAAAAAAAAGAATGTTGAAATATGTTTGTTGTTTGCATCTGTGTTTCATGGTTGTTAATAGTAATAATATTCATGTTTGTAACCCAACCTGTGTGGTTGATACATGAACACTCCATTTTCAGTTATTTTAGCAATAAATACATTAAACACGCCATCATGACCTCATGTGAAGCGACATTTGACGTGGTTATTGTGAAATAGAGCTAAATCTCCACTAGAGGACAGCAGCTCACTGCGGAACAAACTCAACAGCAGAGAGATGCAGAGAAATCAAGTCATATAATCCACCATGTTCATTTGAAATGTTTGATGGAGCCTCACTTTTGGCTGACAGTAAGGCACTAAACGTGTTAAATAATAATAATAATAATAAAGAATTATATTAAATAATGAGAAATGTTGGCGATATATTTAGAACTATACGTAAATTTATGAATTTCCAATATTAACGGACAGATGATCCGAATGAATCAATATATTGTGTTTCAGTATTTTATAGTCAGAGAGGAAGCGGAGTCTCTGGCGATCTGTCCATCGGTGGACAAACTCGTCCTCCTGACTGGCAGACGGACACAGAGGACATCCTCATTCAAGAAGTGGTTCGCTCCGTACTTCCTGCAGCAGCTGAGGAAGTTCAACTTGCCAAATCCAACGAAGCTGCACCAATATGTGCAGTCGGCTGCAATCCCCCCCCCCACCATATTTAAAAACACCCCGACCTGCAGGAGGCCACAGTTAATTAAGACCGTTTTCGATGAGGAGAGACACGGAGGACCGGCTTGCATCATTTAGTCGAGCTCGGCCTCCACGAGCCGGGACGTTTTCACCCTCTGAGACAAGCGGCACAGCAGCATGAGACCAATGAGAGACACCGCCGGGACATCTATCAATCTCTCTTTATTTTATATACATATAGAAAATGTTTGGCACATTTCTTTTTAAAGTACATTATATATATGTATATATATATATCTTTTTTTTTGTCAGAACATTTTATGGCTCCATCACCAGCGACTATCATACATTGATAAATCTAAAACCAAAAAAGGCAATCGTGGCACTTCTTCACATTCATCAGGAAACTCTGAGAGGCGTAGCCGGATCCGGGCGGCGGGGGAGGGAGGGAGGGGGGGGCGGGGTTTAAAGTCTTTGTCACCGCTCGTGTTTGGGCATGACGTCTCCTCTGTCCACCACTGCCACGCCGGGCCCTCTCATCTCCTTCGGGGACACGTCTGCGTAGAACTCGGCCACCACGGGGCAGTGGTCCGACGCCACGCCGCCCCACGACCAGTTGTCCGGGATCCAGGGGTTGGTCAGGCCCTCCCGCACCACCGCGCAGTGGCCTGATGGAGGGAGAGACACAGCGAGAGATGGAGGTCACGCGACTCAAGGGGCCGCACGCCACTAAGGCGAAGGATGCACACGGTCAGCCGCGACTAGACTAGGTTTATATTTACAGGCATTACAAAGTCAACAGAAATTTGCGTGGAAGTTTCCTAATCACCACATGAAATCTTTCGCGTTGTGCGGCCGCGGTGACCTTTGATCGCCACGTCCTCGTCAGCTCAATGTTAAGTGCAATTTGACCTTTGTGCCAAACCTCCCGTTCACGGGGAGGAAGTGTGCGTACTCAAGTACGGAGGGACGAGCCAAACATGTAAATGTTCTTATGTAAATAGATCAATAAAAAAAGGAAAGCGGGTTTGCTTCGCTGCTACATGTAAATTTCAGCACAGTCGGGTCGAGTCAGACACAAGTCATAAAATCAAGCAACTAGCGGCCCATCAAATGATGATGATGATGATGATGATGATGGTGCACCGAGGCCTTGGTCTCTTTGTATAGAGTCAACTTCTACTAGAGTCAAATAGGTTGAGACTCGACTTTGACTCGGAGCGGATGATTAAACTTGACTTTTAAATGACTTTGAATGAGATAAATATATTTATTTTGACTCCGGAGTTGAACTCCACCCGTATCGAATGACACACGGCTTTATTTACGTTAGAAAAAGCTCACCCAATCAAAATCTACCGCTGTCCCAACGCGCCCACTCAATCATCTACTCCCACCGGCATCACCTACCAGAATAGATCTTCTTGAGGGAGCGGCTCACCCAGATGTTGTCCAGGCAGCGGGTGCCCTGTGGTGAGCGGGTGCTGATGTTGGTGAACTGGGAGGATGGAACCAGGGCGCAGAGCTTCTCCTTCCTCAGAATGTCCAGCTCCGAGCTCTGAGCGGGACAGCCAAAGTCTCCCAGCACCAGCAGCTCCTTCTCGGCTGCAGAGGGGGACGCGTGGAGAAAGATGGAGGACAGGAGGACATAATCATCATTTACAGGCCAATGCGGTTCGATCTGTCGCGTGATCCGTCACTACAAACTACCGCACGTGCAGAATAAGTGACTTTAGCCCACGAGGCGCACGGACCTTTAAGAGTCTCCTGGATGCTGGGGGGGAGGGGCGGACACCTGGCTTCGTCTGCGTTGTGGCTCTTGCCGTTGGACTCTCCCGACGCGGCTGCGGCCTGCATGTGGACGTTGGCGGCGCTCAGCTCGTATGAGCCCACCTGACGGAGGGGGGGGGGGGAGAAGTCAGCCATTGGATTTTCGCTCGGAGCCTCGACACAAATCCGTTTTCGGGAAATGGAGCGTTACGTACAGAGAAGTGAGCCAGGTAGAGGCGAGGGTAGGTGTGGTTTCCGTTGCCGTTGGCGACGGGCGACTCCAGGACCGCAGCATCCTTCAGGTCGACGCCGGACAAAGTGTCCCACAGAAAGCCGGAGTAGCTCACGCCCTGGAAAAATCATGGAGGATCATGGGAAATGGAGTCGGAAACATTGCTCTTAAGGACCACGTGTCTTCTTTAGGAAAGTATGTAGCCGTGTAACCATTTCCACCATTACAGCATTAAGGACAATGGAATGAAGGACAAGGCCACGAATGTCTTCTCCTACTCAACCACAACTTAGACTGTGCATTTCATACAAAAATACATTTATTTATGATTAAAAAAAAAGAATAACACAAATTTAGATAGGATAAGGGAAGCTTTTTTGGAAAACTGTTAATAAATGTTGGAACAAACCAATAAGCGCTCGTATCTCACGGGACGGCGTGCCGCTTCAAATATTTCGGAATCTTTTTCTGTCGTCGTAAATCTAAATCCGGCCCCTTAAACGAACGTGTCGCTCAAGTACCTTTCCGGAGCGTCCGGTTGGTTTTTCCGACACGACACTTTTCCACAGCCCACGCGGCCTCTTCCACTTGCGCACGCTGGCCAACGTTCCTTGGTTCAACTCCACGCAGAACTGCAACAGAATACAGAGAGAGGACATGGGGACATCAGACGTTTGTTTGGTTGGTTGCACTCCACGATTTAGACGTGTGACGTAAACGTCGATTGTAGTTTTAGTTCCGCTGACTGAGAACCCGCTGATTGAATCCTTTGTAATAAAAGTTTGACTGTCTGAGCAAAGTGAGAAACAAGTCCAGAACTGTACGTTATAAAACATCGGCGTCACCCGAGGACCCATTGAGTTAGTGATGGTGAGAATCAGAGTGCGCTATAGGGAAGAAATAGCTTGAATACATAAAGGGCCACAGCGGTTAACTTCTCTGCAAAGGAACTACAGGACTGATTGGTTTCTAATCATGAGAGGAGGTCACACGCGGCGTCGTACTGTATTCCAACAGCCGAGGGCGGATTAGCTCGTCAGCGAGGTTCCAGGCACAGGAAGAAGCAATGTGGGGTTTAGTGAACTGTAGTAGCCTCGCCTCAGAGGAGGAAACGTGGCGAGGAAGAGGAAGCCTCTGGCCGACATCGCCGAGCGCCGTTCTTTGTGCCGGCGTGGAATAAGTAAATAAGAATAATGTAAATAAGTAAATAAGAATAAGGAGAGGAGAACGGAGGGAGCTGCACACGTGCTCTTGGAGGCTCGGGTTTCCCGCCAACGGCTCTAAATTTAACCCGAGAGCTCCCCGGTCGGGACAGCGGGGGGAGTCGGGAGGAACCCCGCGGAGAGCGAGCACCCCCACACACACACACACACTTAATAATAAACAGTACTGGTGTCCGAGCAGAAGTCTCACATAATGACTAATCACCGGTTCAGCACCGTGTTGCAGTTGACTTTTTACATTTGTTTGAAAGACGTCTCAGAGAACAGGACAACCAGACAACATTAAGTGTTTTTTTTTTTAAATGCATAAATGTTAAAAGTCAAGTGACAGTATGAACTGAATTTGGGCCGATGTGGCTCCTTCAGTTAGTCCCCTTTTCGTTCCACGTTGACATTATAGATGCACTCTATATTACACAGTTACCTTCCTCACACGTGCGTTTTTTTGTGCTCGATTTGCTCAATTCAACATTTTCTCTCCCGCTTTTAAATGTACTTCATGTCTCCTCGCCTGGGCTGCATCTTCCTCTCGTGACACACTGTGAAACATAAAACTACGCAGGTACCGCGAGGACGAAAACCCAGAACGCTTCCACAAGAGCCAGATAACACTAATTAACACTCATCTGTGTCAAAGTCTATCAGCTCAGCTCAGCGCTCCCACAGCTTTATCAGCCGCGTCCCACCGTGATAAAATAAATAAACGATTTCAGACCGTCGGGGAGGTCAGAACCCCCCCCAACAGGATATACACTCAGGCCATCGAGCCTCTGAAGGGAACTTTGCCAGAACACCATCATAAGCCAGCTTGTGGGGCACAAAGTGCGGGCGCGGCGTGCAGTCGGGGGTCTGGCCAGGAGCCCAGAGGGGGCCCGGCGGGGCCCGGAGGAATCACCTGGCAGCGCTGGGGAGTCCTGTGGAACCTGGACCCCGCCGTGTAGGTACTAGCGAAGGGAAAGAAAAAAAAAAAAAACACCCCGACAACAAACACTGGCTCGTTTCTCACTGCCAAGGATTTCATTATCTGATTACTAGAGAGGCTGTTTATCAATAGAGCGGAGCGCCAGAACCCAGGAAATAAACCTGTCGTCGGCACTGTTTTATTTCAGGGCTTAAAGCCGGCGAAACCAAATCGGTGCGGAGTTTGAAAGATGTGGGGTCTAACCAAACAAGACGGGGGGGGGACACCGGTCACATTACCGGCAGGCATTTGAAGGTTAGGTTATATTTGCAGAACAACAATTCTGCCGCTTCAATTCATCACCCTGGGATGAGGTTCAACCGCGCGACAGGAAGACATCTAAGAATAGCATAATCACCTTTTAGATCTCATCCATTATTTAGAAGTGTGGCTGCAATGAACGCGGCGGCCTCCAGGAGCCGCTGGCAGAACCCGAGATGAAGTGTCTCTATTCCTCCTGCTCTGCACGTCTTTACTTTCATACGTTTCGGTTTTCAGATCCCTGAAGCTTCTGTGGCGGATTTAAATTTATTTTTTAAAAGGCTGAGCAAATATCCTGATTCTGCTTCTTTCATTTGCCCCAAAGGGAAAACCGCTCATGATCGCTCTGCCTGGAACATGAGCAAACATCGACAACAACGACAGCAGCAGCAGCCTCATTAAAGCAGGATGAACAAATCAAGATCTGCAGGAGCGAAATGAAGAGAACTCCCTGAACCCGGCGGGGCCTGCCAGAGGACGGGCTCGGCTGTTTCTGAAGTACTTACAAGGAGAAAAGCTCGGCCTTTTGTCCCCGTTGGGCCTCGTAGTTGTTTGTGTTTGCACAAAAGCTTTCTCTCGGTAACCAGGAAGGGGATTTTGCAGTGTGATTATTCCCGGGTTTGAAACCCAAACCACAGACGGAGAAGGTTCCTTAGCGACAGAGGACAACAGTCTAAAAGCGGCCTTCACTTTATGACTAATTACCACGCGTGTCCCGCTAACACGTCCAGCAGAGCTACAGTGAAACGCTCACGCGGGGGGAAAACGCTCTCGCTAATTTGACATTTACCACACGAATCCTCCACCATCCGATTTCACGATGCCATGCGTCACGCTTTGAGTGTGGAATCTACGAGGAAATACCTCTCAACTCCCCGCTTGATTTATTCCCGCAGAAAAACCTTCTGAACTGGAGCTTATCGTCTCTATGGAGAGGTCTTCTTCTAATACGTCACGATGTTTATGAAGTGAATTATGGGCCCACTTGCTAAAGCAGGAATGTTCCAGTCTGCTCGCTGTCTGTTGGTAACTCGCAACACGTCGGTGGGCTAGAAATCACTTCTTCAGGCGTTTGGTTGAACTAAACTCCACCGTCTCGTCACTCCTGGTGGCAAAAAAAAAATACCAAGTTGCTATAAATTATTTCCCTTGGCTCCTTCTTAAACATGCTAAATCACAATGCAATTGTGCATGCATTTAAAATCTCAAAATAACGTTCTCCTCACTATTCCAAAAATATGTATATATATATATAATCTGAGCTATGAACGATATGAACGATAAACACAGATTGAACGGTTATTTGGGAGGTTGCACTGCACAGAGCCGAGTGAAAGATCCAGTTCTGAATGGACAAAGTCCCTCGACCACTCGGCAGGAAGAGCGCGTACAGAACACGAGAAGAGAGGGTGATGCTGATGAATTAGACGCGGCAGAGTAGATGAGAAAACGGGCGGAAAATCAGCGTGGGAGGCCGGCGGGAGTGAAAACTCTGCACTGTGCCGCCACTCGTCCGGAGGTAACTCGTCCTCCCACCGCCTCGCTCTCCCCGTCCAAAATACTCTGTTGCTGACCTACTTCTCTTTCCACAGAGCTCCGGTTTCTCTGCCAAGGATCCATCTGGTAGCCAATACAGAAAGGGACATTGCACACGTGCAATCGAGTGCGTGTGGGCCGGAAAAAGGAACGCGTCGTACCGCCCCGCAGCCGTCTGCCCAACTGGTAGAATAGTCGGCGGACGCACTGACGTCTTCCCATCGACGCAGACGGCCTTCGTCTCAGCTCAGAGAGAGAGAGCGAGAGAGAGAGAGAGGCGGCGTGGTGCGACTCGGTTTGCCCCCGGTTCATTCGAGAGAAGTGCTCAAGGGGAAAGCGATGATGAGCATCGGGCCTTCGTCCGGGTGGTCTCACGTAATCGGACCTATCGAGACAAACTATCTCAATGCAACGTGTCCCCGGTTGCGGCCGAAGAGGACGTCCTCCAATCCACAGCGACCCCCCCCGAGAAAGAGGCCCAGTTCAAACCCAAATGTGAGCCCAGAAATGTGAAGAAATCTTCACTGCAGATAGAGAGACACAGACAGAGAGAGGGAGAGAGAGGGGGGGGGCTGGCATTTGCATAACAGCAACACATTAAATAAATGGGAAACATTGAGCGAGAGCTTTCTGAGGACATTTCGCCGAGCGGTGAGTCATCTCGTTTACGACGCCGCACATCACAGCGGGCTACAACACCTCCGCCCCCATTCAGCCGGCGTGACCCCCGGCGCCACGTTACCTTATCGAGAGCCTCCCGCTCCAGCAGGTCCTGCACGGCCAGGAGCTTGATGCTGGAAGCAGAAAGAGAGGTGTTTTTTATTTACATGTTCACACGCCGCCACAAAGCACAAACTGTTTCACGGGCGGCGACGTGAGAGACCTTCAGCCGGAGGGAACTTTGCCTGCAAAGAGAAAAATAATACAACTTTCATGTATTTCATACGCGCACAATGTTCCAATCATATAATGGAGTATATTATTTTTTGGGGGGAAGAGGTGGAATGCACATTTAATCAGAATCAGAACTGAGTTTACGAGTATGAATGCGTTTAATTGGGTCTTTGAGGAATTGGAAGCGAGGAAAGAAAAAAAAACACCCAATAAAGGGTTAGTTTGGCCCCAAAATTACATCTACACATTACATCATAGTACCATTTCACCTGCATCGCTCAGAGCAATAATAAATAACACAGTGAGGACGCGTGAAACAGATACAGTAATGTTTCACAACGCCGGGCCACGTATTCTATTATCGCGCATACTGTGAAACTCTGATATTGTTGACAGAGCAGAACTGGATCCTCATTGTGATCAAGGCACATTTCCTCGGGGGAAAATTCAATGCCTTTTCTGAATAACTGTGTAAGGATTTGTGTCATGACTTCTGTTGGGCGACCCGTTATTGCCCTGCGTAGGAGGCGGAGGCCTTTACAGCCCAATAAACATTTATCTGTATACTTTTAAAATGTATTTTACAGGCTGACAGTCGGCACAGTAAACACAGCGCGTCTTACGGCACCAGTGCTTCTCCTCCTGCCTGAAGAGGAACGGTTCTGCGATGCAATTTGCGACGCAAGTGAAGAAAGCACTCCACGGTATTTCATTTGGATTAACGGCGCTTACAAACGGCCATCTGCACATAAAAAATAAAAAAAAATAAAAAAAGAATTAGTTCCCCAAATCCTTCTAGTTGACATACGCAACCTTCCAGGGCTCAGTTCGAGTCGTCTATTATGTCAGAGTGAGAGGAGAAACTTCTGCGCGAGGCGTTATTCTAATGCACGCACTCGCACGGCTCAGCCTGCAGCGCCATACGCGGCGCTTTGCCCTCGTTCACCTCTGAGCTGCTAATCCACACAGAAAATCACATTGCATAACAGCCTTTTCTATTATTGAAGCGCTGGCCGCCGCTGCTGCTGCTCCTGCTGGGCATCACAGGAGCTGCGTTCCCCCTCCAGGCTGACTCACATTCACTCCACCAGCCAGCGACACCGTCGTATCGTAAAGCACTCGCCGGGGAGAACACAGAAACCCTCACTTTAGCCCGCGAAGGTCGGCGCCGGCCCAGAGGAGAGCGCTTCCTGCACTCATCTAGACCGAAGCCGCATTCAGGTCCCGCAGGAGGGACGGGTCGGAGTGGCCTCCCTCCCACAGAAGACCATTCCACCTTGGGGTTGCAGCTTTTACAGAAAGTGGAGGCCATTTCGTGAGTGCAACATTCTGTGGTTTCACTTAACGCAAATCTCTGCATGTGAGTCGCGACATCGATTGCGACGGTTTCCTTGAACGCTACCGAACAAGTTTAGGCTCGAGTGTGAGGAGAGACACCGAGTATCATCAGGTGCATTTCAAACACTTAACACATTCACTCCCTCGTTCACGGTTACTGGAATTAGAATCAACTGGAGCAGCTGCTGATGCATATTCAGCAGTCCTCAGCTGGTCCAGTAGGCGAAGGATAAAGGGGCATGGAGGTGAAAGTGGATCTAGATGAGTGAAACTCAGTCTACTACTATTACAGTGAGACATAAATATACTGTACGTGGTTACACGGATATGTTGGCGTACGGTTTAGTGGATTTAATGCTGTTGTCAAGTGAAACGGAATTGTCCAACATAACGACATTAGTCGTCATAGGAGCAACCCGGTAATTCAGTTTTTGACATTACAGATGCACCTGAGGCAACAACATTTTATTTAAATCAAGAAAGGATTAGGCCTCAGGGATCATCATTTTATAGCAATGTTTTTTAAATCACAAACAAACACATGCACGCTCACAAGCACACACTTTCCGTTAGAATCGTTTTGGGCCTGAAGAAAAAGAAGAGAGACAACTTGACAACTTGTGTCCAGGCAGGAAACCTGGACAGCTTTTCACGGTTATTTTCTCCCCCGGCCGCGGTGCCGAGCTGTAACCGTGGCAAATAAGCCGTGAAATGCAAATGACCGACGGGTATCAATATTCCTTCTTTCGGTTTTCTACTCCCTGGCGCCCGAACAGAACAGAACAGAACCTCCTCTCGCCTCTCAGCGAGTCCACAGACCATGTTTTGAGAACAAAGAGGCCCGTCGTCGCAGACACAACGCGCCTTACACCTCTCCACTGGCGAAGCTGTCGATCGCTCACAGAAACCCTCCTTTACCCCCCCGGCTGCTCCCGTTTCCACCGGGCAGGAAGTCACCAGCAGCACGACCATGTCCGGGGGGCCACGAGGGAAGACGCTATAAAAGACGCTCTGTGTGAGATGGGCGAGCGCTTCGATTGCACTCACAGGCCTTTGGAGGCCGATAAACTGTGCTGTGTCTACAGGAGATAGTCCCGATGCAAACAGCACCGCGTGCTTAATCCATCGGCGTCGCCGTGACAACGCAGCCCGTCGGCGAGGAGGTGAATCTGTATCTAGTGCTGCTGTGCAGGCACAAATAAATCACCGTGCACAAATCAGCGTGTGTGTGTGTGTGTGTGTGCGTGCGCTTCGGTATTTGTCGGTTAAAAGGCGAATCTGAGGACAGAAGCGAGGTTGCACAGGAGGTGACGAGCGGCGGCGATGACCTTGAACATAAGTGACGCCCCGGGGGATTTTTTTTTAGCCCTGAATGAGGAGAGGGATCCGGGCTGCAGTTTGACAACCATTTAAAGAGACCAACGGAATTAACTTGCACACACACAAGTGCACAAACAGGCGCATTGATGGCAAACCACAAACAGCTAACTGTGGTAGCAACAAACATGGTGCAGCATACAGACCATGAAACCCATGCTTGGAATTTAAAACCAGGAAGCTACAGAAAAACTTTTTCAAGCCACTTTTCAGTGTCGGATACTCTGAACATTGGTTTTAGGCGGAATGTTCCGTTGTTGTAGCGCTGGCATCGAGGAAAGGCCAACGCAGCAGCGTGCTGCAGCCGGCGTTTGGTCTGGTTTGTCCTTTCTGGGCTCCGGTAGAAACGTGGAGCGCTCTTCAAAAAAAGAACCTGCACAAGCGTTGATACGAAGAGGGACAAAAACCCCAGAAATCACACAACACCGTTCCTTGATGGTGCACTATTCCGACTCAGTATTCAGATTAGCGATTCCTGTATTAATCCCTTGGCTACAAGGCAACACATCTTTTGTTTCAATCCCACCGAGTGGAGTCTGATTTCTCCTTCTAGTGACCATGTCCGTTTGATTTGCTGCAGCGGGACACAATTAAAGTGTCAGCTTTTTTTTTTTTTTTTAAAGGAAAATAATTGGGGTTGGGAGCACTGTGCCGGCCCGTGTGACTCCTGGCTGGACGAACTCACTGTCCAACCACAATAAAATGCTGCGCCAATGGAAATTTCCACATGGGCACCCAACACCCTGCGTCAGCTGAGCACAGCCCCCCCCCCATCCTCATGGCCCGAGCACCCACGCTCGGCCTCAATCCCCCTGGATTCCTTTAGTAAACGCGGTTGTCTCAGTGAAATCCAAGCGCCCGTCCACCAACATCTCTGAAAGTGCGCCGACATGTGTGTCTCTGATAGTTCTGTCAGCCTGCAAAGGGATTAAAAGACTGCGCGCCGCCAAACTCTGTTTGCATATCTCATAATCCAGGTCCACAGATGTTGGGTACGTCCTGTTGACAGCAGCGCTGGGCTGCGCTGGAATGCCCTTTGGGTAGAACACTTTGCTCCACACTAGTTGAGCAAAAGATCATTTGCTTGAAGGCGCCAAACTAGCAAATAGCAATACAAAGCGAAGAATGGGCGTCTTCCAAGAATCAGATAAAATGATCCCGACCTTGCAGTGGTCATCGGCACCCGTCGGCCTGTTGTGTCCTTTAACCCCGCCTCCAACGGAGGGAGGAAAACCATCAGGATAATAATACAAAAATAAATAAGGGCTTTTCAAGTGTCTGCACTAGGAAGGAGATTTACCCGACAAAACAACAGAAGACTCCCATCACGTGACGGACTTAGACAATGAAATGCCGGAGTGCAAAAGCAGCCATTCAGATTCCATCTGAGCATGAAGCAGTTTTTTAGTGGAGAATTGATGAGCTAAACGGGTCGGAAGCAGATCCGATTAGAATAATCGTATTAAGAAAAGAGGCGGCAACAGCAGCTGACATCTATCCTGTCGCTCACAGAGTATCACCAGCAACTGGTAATATTAATATTGGCTTAGTGGGTGCAGCGCAAACACGGCAGCAGTCACCTGCCCCCCTGAAAGAGGCTCAACGGCGCTCCTGGTCACAAGGATTCCTGTTATTTGAGCTCACGTTATTGATTCACTCGCTTACAATTCTTTGCCTTTACTTGCAAAAACGCGGAGACCTTTTTTACATTTCTGTTCCCGTACGACGAACAAGATGACGCCTGATCTCAGCGACGGGGCGGAACGCTAGCTGGCTTCTGGTCTGCATGCTAAGCTAACCACGTCCTGACTGAGTGCATTCTCTCATCCGACTCTTGAAAAAGGAAAATGAGGATCCATTCCTTTTAGAATAAGAGAAGCCGTGTCAGTAAACTGCACACCGCTTCCTCGCTCGCCCTCAATAACTAGCAATAAATAAAAAGAGATGGAAGATCTAATATCAGAGAGACCAGCGTTCTCTGGAAAGATCACTTCCTCACTGCCGGCCTGTGACTCAATGTGATGTTTTTTAATACGTCCTGGTCGGTTGTGTGCGACGCCACACTGGAGGAAATCTCTCTTGCAGCCGCGCTCTACGATTGGGAAAGAAGCTGCCTGTCGTTTGTTGCATAAAAGTCTTGCTTCATGCAGCTCTGGAGACGCATTAGACACCACGTGAATGTTTTAAAACTGAGGCAGTCACGTTTTGGGGGGTTTCCTGTGACGCGGGAGAAGAATTACGGGCTGAGGAAGCTTTTTGGTATTTTATGAAAGTCCTCCCACGCAGAAAGAGCTGATCCCGGGAGCCGATTCGACCGCACAGAACCTTCAGTTCACTGGAGTTCATTGAACTCCAGTAGCTCGCGCCTGGAGGAAAGCCAGGAAGTGTGTAAACTCGGCCTGGATCTTGTGATTGCTCACACGGCGAATACGAGCACTGCGCAAACACACCGAATCTCCCCTCCGGCCTCCTCCTCCTCCTCCTCCTCCTCCTCCTCCTCCTGCTGCTGCTCCTGCTGCTCCCAAACAATGATCCCTTCAATACCACCGTCAAGGCTGCAACCCGCGGCGCGGGAACACAGGAAGTCACAGGCGTGATGGAGGCGGAAGTGGTGGAGATTTACAAAAGGATGGGTGGGTTCGGAGCGGAGGAAGATGGAGGTGGATCTAAGGTAGCGCGAAAGGTAACCAGACTGTTCTTAAAATGAAATAAAATAATAATAAATAAAATTAAAAAAAACAGGCGCACGCGCCTTGGACAAACGGATTAGTCACACAAGGCTTCAGCCAGTTTGCTCTGGGTGGGGTGGAGTTTGTGGATGGCCTAATAAACATAGATTGCAGTCATCTGACACGGTGTAATATTTTATTGTCTTCAGTCTCCAGCTGTCCAGAGGAGCCTCTGGACTCCTTCCACAAAGCCTCCTCTCTGCGGTGTAACTTCTTGTTTGATTCAACTAGGTTTGTTTAGCATTAACAATCTAACCGCGCGCAGACAATAAGTGAAATCAGAGAACTCACTCGACATTGGCACATACGTGATGTTCGGGGGGTCAATGCCAAGAGATGGAGCACACAAGTTTCAAACCTGAGGCCATGCGCTCGGGAAGCAAATCGACAAAGCGTCTGATTAGGAAGTTGCACGCGGCACCGTTTTTGCGGTAAAAAGCTTCACGGTTTTGGTAGATGGTGCCTCGAGAAGGTCGCGCCCTCCATTGAGAAGTGTGGAATTAAGAACAAACAATAACTGGAGGAACGTGTCAGGCAATCTCGGCCCTGAGCCTGATAGAAGCGAGCAGCTGTCTGTCAGGATGTTGACACGTGGAACCAGGCTGAACTAATCTCTGGTTTATCAGGGCAGATTAACCTGCATTTGCACAGATATATAGCGATCTGCATTATGTTGCACTTTGGGCAAAAAGAACACGGTCGCCCATAACAGATCGTGGTGTTCTTTGTTGTTGATATCATGCATATTTTAATCGATATTTGCACTTTCACTTTTTTATGTTTTCATAAGATGAGTTTTAAATATGGGGCAAGGTTAATTTTGTTGGGACAGTAATGATCCGGGACCTTTGGGTTAATGTTGTACTTAGTCAAATCAACAAAAAAAATTCATTTGTATACCAAAGGAACACAGGGGATCATTTGCAAGCCCAACTTGTTTCGGTGGAATTTAAGGACCTAAAGAAGAAGAATCTGTACCTCACTTTTGAAATCTGGGACTTTGATTATCGATCGCGTGTTTACGCTTCAGGTGTCACGAGTGCGCGCGGGTATGAGCGCGTGGGTGTTTTCACTCACTCGTTCTCCAGCAGGGTCATGCACACCACCTCTTTGACCCCCGGGTTGTTGGCCTTGTCGCAAGAGCAGCCCTGCAGGCTCCAGGTGGCCAGACGCACCACGGGCTTCCCGTCCCGCAGGCCGCAGGGGGGCTCCGCGTCGGGCCGCACGGAGCTGATCTGGGTCGGTCCTCCGGGCGGAAGGTCCAGGTCGTCGCTTCTGAGGCTGCACGAGGTCGGGCTCGGGTGGGACTTGGTGGCGCAGGTCAGCCCCGCGTTGGTGTTCGTGGACGGCGCCCTGGAGCGCTCCACGAACACCTGGAAGCGGATTTTGTCCAGCAGGGAGCTGTTGATGTGGTTGACCCTCACCAGGTCCTCGATGCTTCTGAACGCGCCGTGCTCCGCCCGGTAGGCCACGATGTTCTTGGCGATCTTCTCCGTGATGCCTCGGATGCTCATGAGCTGCGCCGGGGTGGCGGTGTTGATGTTCATCCCGGAGCAGGACTGGTGGTCCGGATCTTTGCGCAGCGACGACGGCGAATGCTGCGACGAACTGGTCCTGCTGGACACGCAGATCTCCAGCTTGATCGCCTCCAGCTTGGTGGCCCCGATCCCGCTCACCAGAGCCAGGTCCTCCACCTTCCTGAACCCGTCGATACAGCACCGGTACTCCACAATGTTCTGCGCAACGGCGCGGTTGACTCCCGGCAGAGTCATGAGCTCCTCCTCCGTGGCGGTGTTGATGTTCAGGCGCTCCTGGTTCACCAGGATGTGGCCGAAGTTGCAGGCGGCGCTGAATTTGCGCTTGCCGCAGCTGAAGTCCGTGGGGTCCCGGGGGATGGAGCGGTGGCAGCCCAGACTCCCACCCATCGCTCCGGCAGCGGGTCACCGGGTGGGGTCGGGTCGGGTGTGGTGGGATGGGAGGGGGTGGAGGGGGGGGGGGCGCTCGGATCAGTGCAGCGGGAGCGGCTGAAACACAACATTCACGGAGGTGACGGTCGCGGAGACGAAGGCGCACATCCGCACCTGCGGGTGTCGTATCATAGTGTAGTGGTCGTACGCACCATAGAGAGGTTGTCCTGAGTCCGGGCTACATGGTGCATGTGTCCACACACGCACGCGCGCGCCGGTCCTTCGCGCACGCTGACGGAGATGTCAGAGTTGGATATTTGGGTTTCTCTGTAAACTTTGCCCTCCAACTGTCCGCCGGGTGACTGGACACAGCTCGGCCTCCACGCGCGCTCTTCTGACAGCGAGACGCACACGCCGATGCGAACCATTGCGCCCGACGCGCGTCAAGCGGCGCGGCGTCACACGGGCTCAAACCGGAAGTCCAAGCGGTAGTCTTCAGAATAAAGGTAAGGCCTCAGAAAGTAATGTAAGTGCACTTTAGGGACACACAGACAATTGTTGTCAGTTGTTGGATTGAATTAGTTACTGATTTTGTTGTTCACATAAATATGGGAGCCAGGAATAAAGAATAAATAAATAATGGGACAGAAATAAATAGTGATCATACAAATCAAATGTATTACTTAACCCCCCCCGAAAAACCCCCCAACTATCCTGGGAATTAATAGGGAACATGTTTTTTGGTAATTTTATACTGAAGACCTTTGACCGTTTATTATTTAAGTTTATTGGGACATTAAATGGTATCCTAATAAATGTTCACACTTTATTTCCCCCCTTCAATCTATGTATTTATAGATGTCAGTATACACTTAATGTAATACTTATTTGGATGAATTCAATTGATACAAAAGTCTTGATTAGTACGTATTATTTTGGTTACATTACAATTAATGACTATGCTTATTGATTACTCTATTCCCCAAATAATACCCTGTTTTGTATATTTGTACCTATTACCTCAAATATCATGTCTTCTAATAAAATGTATATTTGTATAATTGTCTTATCTTGGTGCCTGGAGCCCGTTAATGCCCGCAGCTAAAAAGCTTTTGTTTTGAAATCAAAAACCTTCCTCTGCCGTCATACGTTTCATTCTGCAAGCAGCAGGAGTTTCAAGCTTAACAACCAAATATTTTCTGTCACTGGGGAAGAGAAGTTTATTATACATACTAGTATATTTTTATTACGGACCTTTTGGTTAATTATTGATCAATATTGATTCCCCGGCCTGGTGGTGTAGCAACGAAAAGCACTCTTTAAGTAAACCAGGGTAACAAGGTTTTACAAATATTCATTAAATAAAATAAAAGTAAATTAAATTTCAGTTTTCCAAAAGCCCTTTTACGCTAAATCTGGAAGCATTAATATCTAAATGGGTTGAAACCTGCAGTTTCTCCACTCCTTTGTGCGATGGGATCTGTGGTGTGTCTCCGCTGCATCTCAGACTTTCTAGCATTATTGTGGAAAGCATGCGTTTATTTCTCTGGCTCCTTCGGCTCTGATCCTGCCTGATTGAATTAGCATAGAATTATACTTTCTGATAAGATCACGTCCCTTTTGTTCCACCCTTTTTAACGTCATTGATCCGCTGATCGTTTACTCTCTCGTGTCTGAGGTTCTGTAGAGGACTTTGAGGGCCCTGAATGGTGTTTTAGGCACAGCGAGAAGATTTAAATAGAAAACAGGTTCTTGAGACTGAGTTCTTGATGGAGTTCAAGGAAATCTTTAACTGAGGCTCAACTCTTGAGGTTATTTGGTGTTTCCATAAGGAGTCCCAAAATAACTGGGTTTTGGGAGGTCCTCAGGTTTTCCACAGTGACTTCAGAGTTTGAGAAGTAATTAAAGGGGTTCGAGAGTCACATGAGCACTTGAAAAGATTTCAGGTAAAATGCAGCTGTACAAGGATCCTTGAGGTGCCTCCCGGGGGTCTAAGTGGGTTGTTAACGTGACCCGAGCGCTCCGAGGTTCTTGATACACTCGTGTGGGTTTAAATAAGACTCGTCTTGAGAGTGCCAACAACTAAAATAGCGGTAGTTAAATTCTCCACAGCGAGAGAATGAAGGATCGTTATTTTGATCGTGGGTTTTGTCCATAGACTGTTTCATTAGAGCAGGATATCAAACCGGTGTAGATTCTGTCACATTGCTCAGTTTACGTTGTCAAATGGGTGTGATGTGCAGTTAGTGACCGATGACTTGGATCTCTGGCCCAGACAGAAACCCAGACGGTTACCCAGAATCCTCTGGTGGTGAAAGGATAAGTCACTGTGCACATAACAGCAATATTTGAGCCCATTGGATAAATACCAGACAACACCACCTCTGCTTGACCTCTTTTGCAACAGAAGATTTCCAGCACAGCTAAAATAGAATAAAATGAAATGCACGGCATTAAATAGCACTTTTCTAACTAATGATGTAATGTCCATGTAAGACTAATCCGTTTTAAGGATAATCAATGCTCCATCATATTTTCTGAGGTGATGAAACTCAATACAAGAAAGATTATTGCATTCTAACGTTTATATGCCAAAAACAAAATTGTGTACATATTGAAATACTGGCGGTAAATGCTGTAAAGCATTTGCATGCCTTCTGTGGCTGGGAACACATTCTGACCGTCCCAGAGGACCAGCTCCTGCAGGCTTATCGTTCTGCTCAGAGCTGCTGCTGACCCAGAAAAACTGCAGTTTTCAGCGAACCAGGTCAATGTCAGAACAGCCATTAACCAAACATGGACCGGCCGATAGACCCGATAAAGGAGCAGAGCTCGCCATCGATCGTGCAGGAGAGTCTCAATGACCAAACAAGGAGGCACGGTGCCCCCCCCTCCCCAGTGACTACGGGTCATTGTAATCAGAGCCCGTCGTTAGCGGGGCCCCTTTAGGAAGAATGACATAAGAGCAGTTCTGGCCTTCTCGGGTGGGCTGACACATGAGGTTTTAGTGTGCCCCGCTGTTATTGGCCGAGGGCGTCTTCACCTGGGTGACCCGAGGGGACGGCCGGCCAATCAGAGATGAGGGGCCGAGGCGAGCGCGAAAGGCCGCGTCCGCAGTACAGTGTGTGTGTGTGTGTGTGTGTGATGCCACACAACAGCTGGGAGTCCAAAGGGTTCAATCTTTGTTCAAATAAGCCAAAGACAACTTAAGGTAATGAAGCGGAGACCTTTCTTCATATTTAATGGGGCTCTATTGAAGACTCGACCTGATCCATATTAAGTATTTCCGTGTGGAGACCTCAATACACACAGATGTTCCGTTTTTCATAAGTAAACTGTGGACAGGAAGTACAACTGGACCTAAGCCGTTTCCTAGCAACACACAGGTTCAGCAGGGACTTTTACATCTATACTCCACCCATCTACTGCTGATGTGTGCACAAGGGTTTGTTTTGGTAAGATTAGTTAATGGGGGGGGGGGGCAAGGAAGGAGAACCCTTCAATACACAGATAAAACAAGCTCACTTTGCACTGAAATCTTCAGCCTCATCAGTGCCAAGTTAGCGACCCTCAGACGGAGGTGGACCACGTCGCTGATAAAACCTAATCGGACTGGTTTCGGCAGACAAAAAGTAGGTGAGAGGCCACGAAAACACGCACACGAGCGGAGGGCGAATCCTTTACGCAGCGCAAACGGGGGCTTTAAGTACATTAAGAGAAAAACAGCTGGGCTGTGGTTAAAGTTCAGAGACACAGAAAAGGTTGGGCCCCAGCAGGAGGCCGGTCAGTACGGCGTGCTGCTGCCCCCTGCTGGCCAGGAGGGGGGAAGGGGGGGTATTTACTGCCACTCTGCTCAGTCTCATCCACCTGAGAAATATGATTGTAGTGATCTTCTTCCCCCCCCCCGAAACACTGTATTGATACAAATACAGTGTTTCGTATCCTCATGAGACATTCCCTGTGCAGCGTGTAAAATATTACAAATGCTGCTGGCAAGGTTATGATTCAGGCTTTAAAAAAAAATAAAAAAATAAAAACAATTGGGGTGGAAACTGGCAATCTGTAGCCGTCCTGACCTCCACCACATGGACAGCTTGGGGATGGACTGGAACGCTGACTGGGAGACAGAAACCAGTGTTTGCTGAGCTGGGGCAGATCTCCGCAGGCGGGTAACACGTTGGCTGGTGCGCCTGAAACCAGAGGAGCGACGGCTCCCAGTGGTTAAAAATAACACGTGGCTGGAATACTTAGCTATCCACAAACCTACGCATTTATGTATTTAAGACATTTGAAGCAAAGTTCAGTTTTTTTCCCCCCATCACAATTTTATTATGTGACTTTTTACAATAAAAACAAGACATTACAAAATAAATTGCAGTACACAAACGGCGCTAAAAGATTCAAATCGGAAATGTCTTTAAAATAGAATCTGCACAAGAAGTTCAAATAAATTCATGTTAAAGCACCTCGAGAGCAGTTTTTCTAGACGTTGTTACACTCTGAATGAGTGAAGTCGGGAATAAAAGTTGTTTCCAAAAGCAAGGCTGAAAAAAAAACAAAAAAAACATAATTTCGATACCAGGCTGATATAAAATTAAAAGACAATGATGCAAAAACTAGTTAGAATAAGCAGAGTTCGATCATGGTTGTTGCTGAACACGGCAGTTCTTGATTATACAATTTACAAAACAGGAGGAGATGGAGGAGCTTACCACTTGGGAGAAAAATAAATGCGATACCTAAATATGTGAACCGAAAGACACAATAATATATATATATATAAAAAAAAAAAAAAAAAAACAGTGCCTGAGGTGAGGTTCGGCCTCACGCCGCCTGCAGGAAGCGAAGGGCCGACCTCTTGGTTTGGTTTTTGGCATTAAAAAGGATGCAGCGCGGCATCGGACATTCCCAGAGTAGAAGAAGCGAGGAGGAAGACTGAACTTTGTCCCGATGGTCATGGAGGAAGAAGACCAGTTGGTTCCATACAGAGATTATAGCAGTTCTTTGAGGACGAGTCCGGGCGACGCTGCACCCGGCGCTCACGGGGGCGTTACACAGTAATGTGGTCAAACAGCGGGTGGAGTTGATCGACGGATGCTCAGGCGATCAAGGCTGGCGGGTTGGCAAAGAAGATTTTTTTTTAAAATACACTGTAACATCAGAAAAGGTTCTCAGGAGTAATTAAAAGATCTTCTTCTTTTTGTTCTTTTCCAAGGTCCTGTGAAAACAAGGCAGGGGGGCAGTTAAGCGCAAAGTCTACGACCTCCATCCAAAACCACCACGGTGACGCACGCGTCAGTCCGCACGTACTGACCCCAAACCCGGTTCTGACACAATCACTTACTCACTGGACAAACAAGTCCGCAATACGACATCTTTTAAATCCTCCCAAAGCCTCTTGGGAAAAGAGGCTTTTTGAAGAGTTACGTTCTAGTGATTTGTTACACAAAATGCTTTAAAGCAGCGGTCAGTTACAGATAATAATAATCGACGTGAGCAAAGCATTTTTTGTTGTATTTCAGTCACATTTTGCAGGCGAATCTTCCTCTAAACCGCCGTTGGTTCAAAACTCCAGTAATTTGTTTATGCTGAATCCTAAATCTTGCCCAGTATTTTACTACATTAGCTTATTTTTCTATTTCCTTATACCATCTATTTCACTTCGGTCTGGGCTATTTTTACAAAACTGTGATATGTAATTTTACTTGTAATAAAAATAAGTGACATGTTTCATTGTGAACAAACGATTGTTAATAGTTATTATTGTTCCTGTAAAAAAAAAATCTAATATTTTCGGATTTGGGAATTCACTCTTTGAGCCTTTTCTTGATGAAGTGCAACTTCAACTTCCTTTTCTCTCGTTTACCTGGAGGCGTCCAGCTTCTGCTGCTCCAGGATCCTCTGCTGGGCCTCCCAGCCGCCCTTCTCCTCCTCGTGCTGCCGACGTCTCTCCTCCAGTTCTCTGTGCTGCGCCTCCAGGTTCTTTTTCATTTGCTCGTGACGCCTCTGGAGCTGCGGGGACACGGAGGGACAGCCGAGAGGTTAACAGAGCGTCAACCAGAGAGAGAAAAAACACACACTGGGGGTGGGAGCGAAGGAGGAGGATTCGCTTACCTCAACCTCGGAGTCTCGGAGCTTCTGCAGCTTCTCTTTGACCTTCATCTCAAACACTTGCTCCATTTCCTGTTCCATCTTCCTCATCTTGGACACGTGGTCCCGTCGCTCCTCCTCCATCTGGGCTAGAGGACTCCTGGAGACACAAGCCAGTCATCACACAGTGGTAGGTGGATGGCCACTGGGACATCGCGACCCCCCCCCTCATACTTAGAGAAGAAGCAGGATGAGGGAAGGAGGAAAGGCACCGGCTTGCATGCTTGCCTTGTTTGTTTGTTGAAAAACGTGTCTATGGCAAATGTAACGTACATCTAGAGGATGCTCCAAAAAAATTAATGCCCCCATAAAAACAAAATGGTTTAAGTATTTTGACGATATTGTAATTATTTTTGCTGGATGAAACTCCAAAGCAAGAAGACAAGCCAGAGGATTGCTGCTTCAGAGCAGGACAACGTTTGGATGCATTAGATTCCCCGTAGAACCTTATAAGATACGACATTTGTGATCCGTGACAAAAGAGGATGGTTGGAATAGTTCTATTCAAATAAATGCAAGCGTTTCAAAGGGTTGTAGGTGAGACAAATAAGCGGAAGCAAGGAATCAGGGGAAAAGGTTTGAGATAAAAAGGTGCAAATGCATTCCTTGCGAGCGAGTTTGAAGAATTCGAGTAACACTTACATGCCGTCAGTCGTCTCAGTTCTAAAAACAAACAGATGCAGACACTTAGCATGCTGCCATGAACCATGCATGAGCTTGTGAGTGTGTTGGTGATTACCGACAGCTGCAGCCGGTGGATTAGCAGTCAGACTCAGTTAGTCAAATCAAACAAAAAACGGCTACTGGTGGACGGTTAGTGTGTGCGTGTGCGTGTGCACGCGTGTGTTGGCTCGTCTGGGCCAAGAGTGGGTTTAAAGATTTTGCCTGCGTCAGCTTACCAACTTTAATCTGGAGGCCAGTCGCTGCAGACTGCGACCCCTGACCTCTGGTTTCCTCCATGTTTACACAGTGATAGAACCAGCAGGAGGAACCCACCCCCCCACCCCGAGGTCACGCTACTGACGTGCTTTTCGGCAACCCAAACAGCGCGGTTCTGAGCGCGCTGCGCTGGCGGACCTACTTGGTGAGCTGTCCCTTGTTCTTGTTGTTGTCCACGCCGTTGTAGGTCACTGCAGCCAGTTTCCTGCTACGGTAGTTTTCGTAGTGAACGTTGTTGGTCACGTCCTTCAGGTCCTGCATGTGGGTCCTGGAGCACAACGAGAGAGAAGGAAGGAAACCCAATTATTCTAGTGAGGTTGACTTTCTCTCAGGGGAAAAACCTCGCGAAGAAGACGTTTAGAACCAGTGAGGCATCGGGCATGTTTTCGCTGACCTGATGAGCATGTTCCTGAGGATCGTAAAATCACAGTGCTCTCCGTTTTCCACTGTAAGAAGAGAGAGAGAAGAGGTTAGCACACAGACAAGAAGGTCCGACAGCAACTATTTTGGGGTGAAAGTCAAAATGTCACAAAAGTTTAAAAAAAAATTAGATTAAAAAAAAAATGTCCCAAGAAAAGGAGAAAAAAAAAAAAAATGCAACCAGAGACCTGGACTGGAACCCTCAAGACTAAATGGAAGAATGAATAGTAGTGGGTGTGAATATTATTATGTAAAATGATATTTGCACAGTGAAACGCCCTATGGCTAAATTAATTCATGGAATTGCGACCCAGCGTCGCTTTATTTTAGCTTCAGAATTTGCCGTTAATTATTGCTTCTACTCGCATGCAAAAATCTGAAAACACCATTTGTGAAAATTAAACATTCCCTTTCAGGATGAGCTGCAGGCGACCGGTAGGAGCTCCCTTTTCATCAGCTTTGTCTCAAGAGTCGCTCGGGCTTTTTTCGAGGCCTCGCCACGGCACAGATGGCTGCAGTACCAGAAGCCACCAGCAGGGGGCATCACGTGTTCCTCTCCACAGCTAAACTCACCACAGTCCTCTGGGATTTCTCTGGACTGCTGTGGTAGAGTGGCTCGCATAGTTTCTCAGGGACCTTGCCCTCTTTCCCTCTCCCCCACCCGCTCAAAAACATTTGCGGTATTCCAGAACTCCCCACGGACGGCATCACAGGCTCATAGCAGCAGTTAACCACCCGGCCGTACGGTACCCAGAAGAATTAACAGCCTAAGAACCAAGACGACGATTCTCCAACAGCTACAGTAAATTCCTCCGATGTTCCCACTGGGTCCGTGTGTACTCATCACTTCAAACTCAGGCAGTCGCACTGCGTCAAACCACAGAGCGACGGCTACATCCTGTGTCAGGCCAAACGGGGCGCTCACATCCTGTGACAGGGAAATTTGACGTTTCTCTTCTCTAATTGCCGCAAAGTTGATGAAGATCCAGCCAGCAATACATTCTGTTTGAACATGAGGGAGCGTCAAATAAATCTACAATTTTGTCTCTTAGGGCTGGCGCATGAGTCTGCGTCTTTACGCACCGTCGTGTCGACGCACTCGTTTCAATTCATGGTTCTAAAAGTCTTGCGTGCGTTGCAGAACAATTCACCACCAGAACAGGTGGAGTCACGTGTTTCTGTTGAAGACGACCTAGAGAGTCACGCCTGTGTGTGGAAGTCGTTGGTTTGTTCATTTATTTATCATAGACTTTATTGCCCCGTGCATCGCCACTGCTGCTTTTCATCGCGGACACATTTGTCCCGTATTTTCCTCCACAACTTCATCCCCCTCGACCGACAAACGCACGTTTGCGGAGATCCCCCTCCACGAATCAGAGTCCATCCGCGCGTCCTTATAGTCCGCCAATGACGGCTTGTAGAAGTGGTCATATTTACGCATTTTTCAGAAAAGTTCTCTACAACAATTGATTTAGTGAGAATAACGTTCTCCCCTTTATAAAAATGAACATTCAGAACAATCAACTTCTATGAAATACTTACAGACCCTTCAATGTGTTGCCATTTAAAAATACTACATTAACCAGTATTTATACAGTCTCCACCTTTTTTTGTAAGCTGATGTTCAGCCATTGATTGAGTGTTAATATACTACATAGAAAATATATTTATAGGCTGTGAGCCTTTACCACGCCCTCCTGTGTGTGTGTGTGTGTGTGTGTGTGTGTGTGTGTGTGTGTGTGTGTGTGTGTGTGTGTGTGTGTGTACGAGCTGATGGATCATGCCCCCGCCTGCTCAATAACACAATACAATAAATACTGGTGTGTTTTCCACTGTGAGCGAGAGATTCCATCCAGTCGATCAATTTACAAGCTGGAATCAGATGACCTTTGACCTCTCACCTTCAGCCACACCCCAGGGGTACTGCCTCCCACGCACTCGCTTTCCGTTGACCTCGATGATGGTGTTACTACCGACTACAGCCAGGGGTAAACGATCCTGCGAGGGGGGGGAAACTCAACTGTTACACGGGTCACGTGTCTGTGTGTGTGTGTCACAAAGGAGAGAACTGTTTATGGAACCGGGGGGGGGAGGAGTCATTAGAAGGGCGGACCTTGATTCTCCTGATCATCTTCATCTCCTCTTCGTCATCCGTCTCGGGAAACTCGTAGATTTTGATTTTGTGCTCCTGGATTTCTTTCATGATCTGCACACAGCGGAGAGGAGGCGGGGTGAAACGGAAAAACAGCGATGTGAGCGAGCTGCATGTGGGACAAACTGGTCCAGAAACATCAATAGTCAGAGGCTACTCAATATACACACACACACACACACACACACACAGTGCGTCTGTGCATGTACATATTGGGATCCAAACATGTTTGATTAAATAAAGGCTGGTTTCTGGTCAGAAACAGGAAATATCTACAGCGACACATTAACAGGCGATCAAACAATAACATGGAACCAGTCCTGAGAGATGCGCGACCAATAGGAACACATGCAAGTTCAGCTAGAAGTCACACACACACACACCTGTTTCTTGAACTGTTGACACTCCTCTGGGGTCATTGTGTCGGCTTTGGCGATGAGGGGAATGATGTTCACCTTTTCATGTAACCTCTTCATGAATTCAATATCCAGGGGCTTTAGCCTGAGGAAAGAGCAAAGAAAGGGGACTTTAGTTTAATGGATAGTGTGCAAGTGAAGGACACACACACACACACACACACACACACACACACACACACACACACACACAGGTCATGTTTCAGAGCTTAGCTGAACTCAACCTGCACATCTGGATTGACGAGACCGCCTCGTAAATTCGAGGGTTTGGACTCTTAAATTCTTAAAGGGCTGTAACAAATGTCCTTTTTATTTAATATATCCAATGCTTTGATTTACATTTTCGAATGAAACTGGTAATTCAGCATTTTCATTTATACATACTTCCACCAGTTTTAAACTTGGTTAAACTGCCAAATCCAATAAGTAATAAGAAGTTGGCAAAAGTTGTATGTCTTTTAGTTGTAGTCACACTGCCGTGATGAGCAGCACCCACCCGTGTCCAGACGGAGCGATGAAGTACAGGCAGCACTGCACTCTGCTGTCCGGCATCAGCCGCCTGTTGACCCGGGACTCCGCGTTGAGGTAATCCTCGAACTTACTGTCGATGTAGTCGATGACGGGCTGCCAGCTGAGGGACCACAAGTCAAATGGCGTCAGGCACGTGGAGGGGGAAACGGCGAGAGGCGCGCACGCCGACCGGCGACGGGGGCTCACCAGTTGCTGTTGTCGACTGCGTCTCCAAAGCCGGGGGTGTCGACGATGGTGAGCAGGAGCTGCACGCCTCCTTCCTTTACAAGAACCTTGGACTGCTCCACCTGCAAACGACGACAAAAGGCCGGTGGAATTCAGCGCAAAAGGAGAGGGTGGTTCCTCTGTGCTTAAAGTCCATCAATCTCCACATTTAATTGCTCGGTTGAGGTTTTGTTTGTTTGGTCGGATTTCTGGTCAACCGCAAATTAAAAACACAAAAAGACGAAGCCCTTTAATCCCGTTTAGATTTCAAAACCACTTTTTGGAAACATGTGCCGCGAGCTTTAAATCGAGTCATTAAATTGTAAATGTCTCAATGACATTTAAGACAGCATGTTGGATATTTTCATAAGGCATTAATAAAGATGGAGTGGAGTTGCGGGTTTGAGAGTCCAGGAAAATCAATGTTCAGTTTGAAATAAAGAAACCTAAAAAAGGTTGAACTCGTGATTTTTCGGACGAACTTTGATTAAAATCAGCAGATCCAAACTCTCCGTGTGGCCGAGGTCGGATCCGAGCAGACAAACAGACATTACGACGCTCCCCAAAACCCCACGCGTCACCGATTTCAGGCCGACTGGAAACATAAACCCCCGCTGAGCCGAGAACGTTGGAACGCTCTCCACATTTGGGTTTGGCCGAGTTGCTGCCGCACACTTAAGAGTTGCCGCAGAAATGCCGCCGGTGACGAGGCGAAGCCAGACTCTCACAACGGAACTCCAGGGAGGAACCGTTGACCCGCTATAGGGGAAAAAATTAAAGCTACCAATAATGATAATATTATTAATGATCTAATTAAATGACAAAGTAGTTGTGAAAGAATGTCGTCACACTTGCATGATAAGTAGGCGAAACACGTGCGTGTCCTACAAGGCGACTGCCTGTTGGTACAACCGGCGTTAAGTGAAGAGCTGCTGAGGGGACGACGCTGAAGAGTCCCACAGTGTCTCTGTTCAGCGGCATGACAGCACGCGTCACGGCTATTTGCCAACGCGCTGCCCACAGACATGAGCTCATGGGTAAAAAAGGAACAACGCTCGGCTACGCGGACAGCAGGGAATGGAAAGGCTGCAGGCGTATTTATGTACAAGACCAGACGCATGGGACGGCATCCCTCACGTTGGACGGCGTCATGTTTTAAAAGACCGTAAGGCTTACGATAATAATCCCTTATTATACAGAAATGGAATCAAACGAAGACGGGTTTTTTTACGGAATGCGAATAAGTTTGTGCAAAAATAAAACAACAATGAATCTAGATGAAATTAAACAATTTGCTGAAAGAAAGAGAGTCCGTTGTATAAAAATATTTACTTAATCAGATTATCTTGTTATTTTAATCTCCAAAATTCCCCTTAGGAGGGAGCAGTGGCTCGTTAAAAACAAGGCATGTCTGTGCATTGGCGGGACAAGACCGAACTCGGCACATCACGCCCCCTTTAAGTGCCTGTCCTGGGACGCGCTCAGCCTCCTCGAGCCTCGTTAACCTGGAACAACAGATTATTCTGCTGCGTTGATCACCTGCGACAGGTCAACACTCCCTCTATCCGCCCGCCTGGTGGCCGCGGGACTTGTCGCCATACAGACATCATGCCGTCTGGGTTTCATAGCATTCTTTGGCAGGACTCAGAAAGTGACCACAGTTATTTGAAATTAAATTATTTGCGTAGATCCCGGCGTTTAACAAGCGATACAAACAGAGATGATTTCATTTTAAGCACATATTTCAGCGGCATCGCTTTGGGAGCGGAAGGCCTTGTGGGATCCAACAAAGCCGCACACCAACCAAATCCCATTTTGAAGAAGCTGAGGTTGGGGGGTGTAACGGAGAGGTAAACAAATTGGAACCAGCGGCGGAACGAGAGCAGACGTGACCCCCCCCTGCTGTGTTGTTGGGGATTAGGAGACTTGGAGCGAAGCAGCAGATCAGAAGGGAACAGGTGAAGGGAAGATCCTCATTGTGCTGCTGATCCACTGTACACAGACCCACACCGAGCACTCATGATTCCCCCCCCCTTCACACCAACAGTATCAACTTTCACTCTTCAAAAGGAAGCGAGAGTAAAGCTATGCGGCGGCGAGCCCAAACCGGGAACTTGGGAGCAGCGGGGGGGGGGGGGGCGGTAGAATGCAGCTGCATTCATGGCACGTCGGGATCAATGTCTGTCGGAACATTAATTCGACCCTGAAGTGAGCTGGAGAGATCATCTGACAGCGCTGGGTGTGGAAGGGTGTGAGGGGGCGTGTTCAAGCTACGACGGGGTGTTTTGATTGCTCCTTACGGCTTCAATAAAACCCCTGAAATATGCTCCTGCACAACATGAAATACTCACGGCTTTGATTGGTTAATGGACTGCGCTTACAATGACTTTCTACCTGAACGGTCCCATTGACTCACTTCCACAGTTGCAGCGCTGCAAGACCTGAAAGTCCGGCCAAAGACACTTAAAAGAACGTGAACAGGCGGAGCTGCCAGGGATTGAACCTCCGACCCGTGCGGTCAGCGGACACCGCGCTGCACAGTCGATTAGCAACATAAGCAAACAACCTCCCAACGGTCATTATACATTTCTGAATTCCAACCGGTGCACAGGGAGCCGTTTTCCAACAGAGCCGCGCCAATAACACGGATAATATCTCACCGCCAACAGCCGAGGCTTTGGCAGGAAGTTCCAGGTAGGATGTTGGACGGTTGAGAAGGAAGCCGAATGAACTAAATAAACGGTTTCCATAGAAAAAGCTGCGATGGACACAAGTGTACGCGAGATGATGCAGATTATGAATTAATTTATTATTATAAAATCAACCCCGCCCCAAACAGATGGAGTTCGACATGAGCTCACATCAGTGTTTACCCAACTTTAAACCGTGTGCAGCAGAGAGACCAATCGTGGCGAGCCACTTACCACCGAGGCTGCACTGTGTGCCCGTCCATTCAAGCCGTTTACATGAGACACACAGACTACTTCACTCGGCATGTATACACACACACACACGCGCACATTCCAGCTTCTTCAGCGCAAAGTGTACAAACCAAACTTCCTCTAATCCTTCCACCAGCATTAATCATTCCCATGATGCAGCCGGACGGCCTCGTTCATTCAGACAGGAGCCCAAGCATCCAGACACCCAACATTTATCTCTTCTCCGGCTCTTCATTTATCTAATCTTGACCACCTTGAGTTTCTTGATCTTAAAAACTAAACCTTCTGGCCATCCCACAGCTTTGTGAACGTATTGTGTTACAAACCATTTTAAATGATCCTGGGTTGTGCTTTTTATTTCGTCAAATACAATGGAGATTCTTTTCTGCCGTTAAAGGATTAGCTTGAGGAATTCCTCCGAGATGAAATCATCAAAAGGTTTGCCCGTCAGGCCACAGGAACACCTCTGTCCCGTTTAGTGGTGTACCACATTCATAAGCACTGTCCGAGAATCTTCATCCACGTCGCCAAATATCTTAAGTAATGTGGTAGATTTTCAAACAAACATTTTTAAAAAAGAAACCTTAATGTTACTTCACCCCCTCAATTTTGAAATGATAACAAACCCGCCGCTTGTTGAGGCAGATAAACCAGTTTCTGACAATCACAAAAAACACGGGTGTCGACAGCGGCAACGAGACGCCTCATTCCCCAAATATTCAGCCGACGCCGAGACAGTGAAAAGGTGGCGTGTCCGGGGGAGGGCGAGCCCTCGTGTGTCACTGAACGGAAACATTTGGCCCTTGATGGGATTGAATTCCTTCTACTGGCGTCGGCGTCACGCGACTCGGTGAACAAACGAGGGACGACACAAAAAAAAACCCTGCTTACCTGTACAGTTTTTTTAATTCTATGTGAGGGACCCGGGTATTCGGGGGAGTACAGGTCCGTCAGAAAGAGCGAGTTGATCAGCGTCGACTTCCCCAGCCCAGATTCCCCTGAAAGACAAAGACAGTGGGAGTGAGTGGGAGACTCCACGGATGCATTTCACACTTCTTTATGCCAGAGTGGAGCGCAACACAATCTCCAGATGTGTATCAACTCCGGCTCTTTTCACGGTCAAACATTCTTTACACGTTTCGGATTCATGACTTTTTCCCTCAGTGCAGGAAACGGCTCCCTTTAACCCCCCCCTCCCCCATTTTAAAAACAGGCAAAAGAGCTCACTAGAGACAGACAGGGTGAAGTTCCGTCCTCCCAAATTCTTTTCCTGTCTGCATTTCAGGAATCTAATCAGAGAACCATGGGAAGGGAGGAGGGGGAAAGGAAGATTTCAAACCCCCACAGTCGTCGTGAATTCTTATTCTAACTAATGAGTACAAACAAATCAAAGACTCCATTGTGCCAAAAGGAGTCTTTGTCACAAGAACCAAAACAGACAACTGACACGTCAGCTTAAATTCTCTTTGAACGTGACGGATCATCTACGGTCTGAGAAGAAAGTATTTCTCCAGCATTGGTATAAAACATTTACTGTATTACATCAGTATATACTCTTGGCTTTGGGAGTGATGCTATCGCTAGGTAGCTACTGCAGGTTGTCTGGTGGTTAGCCTGGCATGCTAACTTTAAAACAAATCATCGGCCTACAAAACACATAATCTGGACTCACTTTGACAAACGATTGAGTCCTTTCTGAAGTCGTTTGCTGGCTGTAGCATCGCAAATGGCTGGTGGTCTGTTACTCAAACTAAACTATTTGCTTTACGTCCAGTCAACTTAAAGAATCAGAGAAGGGAAACATTTGGCCAATATTTCTGGAGCTGTAAAAATCCCCAAAAATGTCTGCGAGAACCGAGGGGGACCGGCCGCAGTAATCCAATACCATCGGCAGCGTGGCTGTTGGGATCGGGGTGAGCGGAGGGTGACGAGGAGCCGCTGAACAAAAGCTTCAGTGTGCGAGAGGAGGCCGTCCGGCCGCCACAGCGCTGCTCCTGACCTTTAAAAGTGGCCGGGGCCAACGCGGCCCACTGCCGCCAACAACTCGCCCGCCCGGCGAGATGAGGAACGCGCCACACAAAAGGATCCTTCACTGGACACGCTCGGAGGAATAAATATTTTCCTAAGAGGGTAGAGACGCATTTTGTCTTGCGATCGGCAATTATAGCCGGGCGGTGATGAAACATGCGGGACGGCGGCAGACATTTCTTTCAGGGTGAAATAAATAAGGGGAAATGGAGGGCAGTTATGCGCTGAAGGGTACCAGGGGGAGAACGCGGTAAACTGAGTGAAATACAAGTGATGTCAGCTTGAATTAGAGAAGCCGGGAGCTTGACGAGAAGCGCAGGACCAAGGAGACACGGCGAGGTGTTGGCGCCTCGAGGGGGAAGAGGCGGAGCTCTGGGCTCTTCACACTCTGGGTGTTGCACCGTCGGGGCGATCTACTTTCCAGACATGTACCCGATAGAACAAACGTGCTTCCAAATCACAACTCGGGGATGGAACCCTCAACGAGCGCCTCCCTTGCAGCAGCGGGGACGGCGGCGCCAGAGACCCGCTCAGATTCAGGTGGAGGTCAGCTGACCCGAGGGCGTGTATCGCCGCTTTACCGTCAGTATTTCCATTACAGTTCGGTTTCCCACTGCAGTCACCTTGAGACAAGACGTCCATTGAAGAGAAATGTGTAGTCCGCCATGCCGTCGCCCAGGCCGTGAGATCTCAGCAGTTTGTTCCGTGATACGAGAGTCTAACCGTTGATTCTGGTTAAAAATCACGTTGGGCTTTTTGTTGAGGGAACCGGCGAGACACCAACATCTGGGCTGGCCTACAAAAATAAGCCATCCAGCCTCACTCTCGTTTTTTGCTAATCGCAACAGGCCACAGAGGAATTGGGTCTTAACATACTATAGTGAGGGCCAATGGGCTGAATGGACGAAGGGTCCTCGCGTCATTCAAATCCACCCCGCCTGCGTTTTGTGCAGGGATATGAAAAAAAATTTTTTTTAAAAAGGAGCCCCTTGCTGTCGTCGCAGCCCGGCCCCGCCGACGCGCAGCGCCAGAGGAGGACCACTCTCACGGAGCCAGCAGAGCCAAAGCCGAGGCCCGCTGCCCGGCCGGCAGCCAGCCCACTTCCTTTAAAGGAAATTTCCAGCAGCTGTGTAAACCGTGGGGGTTTATTCAAAAAAGGCACTTACCGCTGCATACAAGAGGCTGGTGCAGGGAGAGTAGGAAACGTTTGCCTTGAGTTAGGTCGAGTCATTTGATCGGGCTTTAAAGAATTAAAAAATAAATTAAAAACTGCACCGGGCTCACGTGAGCCGATAAAATGAAAAAGTGCTCCGTCGATCTGTGGAGAGAAAAAGGGAAATTCTGTACGCTCGACATTATCCCCTGAAAGCAGTTATCTTCTCTCCAGCGCTCTGTGTTTACGAATGGGACTTTCCCATCCAAAAAGGGGGCAGAAGACAGTGAAGGTTTTAACAAGTCAAAAGCATTACAAAAGCACTGCACATGGATCTGTTGGCAAAGACATCAATTTCCTTCTGCCAGTGTCAGATTTCGTCTAAAAGCCCCTCTTGTTTATGCGAGGGCATTCTTTCCAAAAGGGGGAGAAAACAGAGCTCATTTAACTCTCCGTCGACCAGGAGCCGACACAATGAGCTCCGGCTGCAGTGGCGAACATCAAGGTCAGTTCCTGCAAGCGAGCAAATCAATGATAAATATTGACTTTGGCCAACAAATGGCTCTGGCCCACTTTCACGGGTGACGTGTAACAACAGATAAGAGGACACAGAACGCTGATTAAATGACTGTTTTAGTGTTCTGGATTCCTTTTTGTCAGACGCTGTGCCTCGTTATGCGATATAGTGTAAGAGGAATACACCCCCTTTAGGGAGGGCGTGGGCAGGCTGGTCCTATTCATATTAAATGTCATTTTAATGCTGTAATGGCAGATAAAGAAAGGACTAGAATGCAGCAGACAGTCTTCCTACAAAGCCGTCTGCCTGTGAATCACAGTCCTAGAAAGTAGATATTATCTTATTAATTCCATAAGTCAATAAATAGATTTTACACAAAGGAAATCACACACTTTATGACGCCTCATCTACTGCAGCAGGACAAGCACTTGAGTTTGCCAATGACGCCTCCATCCTAAATACACGCCACACATAAAGAATGCACAGCAGAGAGAGGGGGTGGACTCCACAACAACAGGGAAGGGGGGGAGCTCAATTTGGTTGCCATAGAGACGGGCTCTGTAGCCCCTGAGGCAGGTAGGCGCTGAGCCCAGGGGACAGGATGTGACATCATGCAGGCATTCAGAGCCGCTTCCTGATCAGGTACCCATGGATAACAATAAGAGCAGAGAGTGAGACAGAGCTTTTACTTTGGCTGCATCAATAGAACGACAGGAAACCTCCTCCCACCAAACGAGCCAGAAGACACAAGCTCAACGTACTGTTGAACGGCAGCCATTTGTTTTAAATAAGTTTCCGCTGGACTCCGGCTTCGCGTGAGACTTCTCCTCCTCGACAAGAACCACCGCTAGAGCTTGAAGCTACGACGTTCCCACGAAACTCCACACGTGAATATGCACAGTGACAACTACAAGTCCTGACACGGACACAGAGTCAGCGTGTGAAGCTCAGAAGCAGACAGTGTTTCGTCGTGGTATAATTAATGCACGATTGTGTCAGAGGTGCTGCAGGAGTGGAAGGGAATGACTTACCCACGACCATGAGTGTGAACTCAAATCCTCTCTTCACAGATTTTCTGTAGACTTGGTTGGGCAGATTTGCAAAGCCCACGTAGCCCTCCAGGTTCTTCTGTAGCTGCGGACAAACAATAAAAAAATAAAATGAATTGAATCATTTGCGCCGATGCTGAAATCTGAAGGGTCAATGCAAGATTTTTGACTTATTTGAGAGGTAATTTTGTGAATACACACGGGTCAATTCAAACAAAAAATCTGGAAAAAGCATTATTTGATTATCCCAAAAGAAATCTAGGAAGCAATTTTTTATGACGTAAAATCTTTGCAGGCACAGAAAAGGTGGAAATGGAAATACTCACAGCTGGGTTGCAGACAGGCAGTCAGGTTGGTGAGAACACAAAATGAGACGGGAAGCCAGCGGTAACAGCCAGGTCCACGCGGCAGGAACCAGAACCAGAGGGGAAAGAACCAGAAACACAAAGAAATGAGTGAAAGCACACAGCAGTCATCTTTAACGCATCAATCCACCTCATTGAGTTACTGCAGCCCGATGGAAACACTTCCAGGCGCGGAAATGCTTTTTCAAATGAAAGCAGACATAAAACACCAGCGTGCTGGGAATTTGAAGAACCGTTGGTATTTCATGTCTGTGAACTAGCAACAACAGGACTTTTAAGTGTGATCTTGTTCACACCAAGAGCATCTCGTCCCTTTGGCGTACGTGTAAAGCGTTAAATAAATTTTTTACAGGAGACGACCCGCTGGATTTACATTTCTCATAACCACATCTGCCACACTAAACATGCCAGGTATCTGGTGGAAAGCGTCGGAGAGAGAGAGAGAGAGAGCATCGTTTATAGCGACTGTTGACACGTAACAGCGGTACCGTGGGTCAACAGATTATCATCTAGTCTGACAGACGACCGCTGCTTCCTGTGCTGTAGACAGTGAAACAATGTGCAAACATCACGTCAGACTCCGATGTGAAGCGATACGCTGCAACAAAAAGACGCATATAGGGACGAGAACGTCAAGTCGCGCGCTGTTGCATTGAAGATGATGTGTGTGGGCACACGTCCAGGGATAGAAATACCAGGTGCACAGGGTCGGATTCCAGGTGATATCCACAACTTTTGCAAGCAGAGAACCAAAGAAAAAGCAGTTGTAGAGGAGCTGGGTCATAAACACAGCTCTGCGGTTTTACTTCCAACACAGGAACTTAACACCTTCAGTCATGCGACATAAAGTCATGGTAAAGAGCAAGTAAAACAGCATGTTTAAATAGTTTATATATTATATTTTTAAAACTGAAACAAGTTGCACTTGAAAAGAGCTCAAACATTTGTGTCTGTAGCTTAAGCTACAAGCCGCCGTCACTAACAAATTAAAATCAGTGCAGGAAAAGACGACAAAATAAAAAATAAAAAAACTACAGCAAGCGAACGGAAAACGCTTGATTTTGCATTTTGCTGTTCTGAGCCAGCGGAAACCGTGCAGCGAGTGTCCAGGAAGCTGGGGTTAGTGGGAGGGTGCACGGAGCTCCCAGCCCCGAATGGTGATTTCAACGGCGGAGCGGATACGGTTGCTGACTGACAAAGCCGCTTCCCCCGACCTCCGCAGAGCTCAGACATTTAGGGCATCATCCCACACTATTATTCTTCAAAACTCCTCTGTTGATACAACGGGGCCCCATTCCCCCTCCCGGGGGGGGGGGGGGGGGGGGGCAAAGCCCCAAATTGTTTGTGTTTAGCCTCTCAGTAGAGAGCAAACAGAATATTCCTATAATAAAAGGTTAACGGCACGTTTAACCGCAGCTATAACACAAAGGATATTTCAGTGTGATGCACTGAGCGGGTGCCGGTTTGACTGGTGGCCTGTTCCTGCTGTTTGACTGGCATACGGGAGGTATGACTTGTTAACATGCCACTGGTGTTACGCTGACGGATGCCGGGTACCAGGTCAGACTACGGACTCCTGCTGCAAGATAAACACTCACAGGCAGCTGTTGCCAATGAGATGAATGTCACCGGTCTGGTAGCTGAACTAGTAGGACTTGTTGAGGCTAATCAGCGATCGATCTAGCTGTAGGTTGTGGGGTATTCAAAGTAAAAAAAAAAAAAAAGGTAGAACAAGAGACACACACTCCAAAGAATGGATCTATAGCACTAAAAAGAGGGGGAATGTCAGTACTTTGGTGAAAAGGCTCTTCTGAAAGGTGAACACAAGTGACAAAAAAAAAGAAAATTCAACAGCAGTAAGTACTAGATCGTGGAGCATGTTGTTTAAGACCCTGCTGTCGAACCGCCCTGTCTGTGTTACTGCCTCATGTAGTGTGCACCTTTCAGATCACATGTTGCTTCTGTGCTGCTTCGCAGTAACTCACTATGCATTTCTCAGAGTTTCAAATGTTCAGCCCCCTTGTCACATGAAAAGTGATCAGAATCGCTCATACTACGGCGCCACATTCGTATTACTACATCAGTGGGTGAGTGTATTCCTGTAAACATTTTAACTAGTATACAATAAAGCAAACTATGTTAGATGACAAATAACATGAAACAAAAAAACTACAACATTTGGACATTGTTAAAGTCACATAAGAAATTGATGAAATGATTAATTTGAGAATTTCTACGCGTTGACAACACAGAGATGAATCAATAGATTAAATAGATCAAATTTTGTGATTTATATGATTGGCATGAACTCATGTGTAGGAGGCCCTTGAGTCTAAAGTCAACTTGCAACCTATTTCAATACACACACATTGCGATTTACTTAAGCTGCCCGCATTGAACCGTGAAAAGTGTATTCTCTGCAGAGAGCAAACAATGTCAAACTGAAGAGGCCAGCTACATTCAGTGAAAGATAACTATATTTAGTCGACCACGAGCGAATGCTGAAGAGAGATGCTGCACTTTGTCGTTGCAGTGCATGCTTTTGTTATACACAGCGATGTAGAGACAAGGGCCGATCTAAATTAGACCTGTGGCGTGATCACAGACACGCAAACCTGAAACCCGCCGCGCACAGAAGCCTCCCAATGCATCTAGTGAACGGAGAATAACGTCGATGCCCGTAGCAATAATTAGGCTGAACTACATCACACCAACACTAGAACGGACATGGCGCGGACTCACGCAGAGCTCTGTCATTACAGCGATCCCACCATCTGACACTCTCTCCCTGTCTGGCTGGCTGATTGCCCCGACCTGCCCCTCTGTGCTATGTCATTGCCTGTGTGCAAACAGCACAAACAGCACGCCACTTGGCTCCGACTGCAAGACGCCACCGGTTTCATCCACCGATGAGCCTGTGCATGACCAGGTCAACTACCGCAACTGCAGGATAGTGAGGGTTTGTTGTGCATAGGGATTAGATAGTAATATTAGTCAGATGCCAGGGGGGTCTCTGACTTTGATCAGAGATGAAGTGAAACGTACGACCCACCAGCAAGGATTTCTGATGATCTAGAAAAGTAGCAGACATCACATCAGTAAAGTTACTATGGAGCGACCGGTTTTACCACCTGGGAGGAGAACACTGACTTCTAGAGCTCATTCATCTTTCATTATCACGCTCTCTGCTAGTATAGCGTTTCTTCAAATAAATTAAGTAATATATATGTATATAGATCATGAGTTTTATTGCAGAGTTTACGCCTCCCTCGTAACGAGCTTCTTTGAGCGGCTCCTGACAGAAATAACAGGAAATGCCAGGCTGACGTAAGTTATGTTAACTTAACGTTAGGCGTCGTTAAAATGTCGACGTTATTCCACGGGCTCCTCGCCAAACCCCATTCATAAATCTAGAGATGTTACAACGCGAGATGATTTAATTTAAACTCTGTGTAACAAACAAATAGAAAAAAACCAAACAAAAAAACCCCGATGCACTCGTTAAGAGACACTTATATAATCCGCATCCGGTGGGAGCAGAAGGTTATAACTCACGTTACGACTGGAACGTTAATCGGATTGTAGCGTGGAGTTAGGAGTGACATTTCCCCCCCGCCGGGAGGGCTAAGCTAACGTTAAGCTAACGTTACACACAGAATGGGACGCAGGCGGGGTTTTATGGCCAAGCGTTTTGATCTGGCTAGAACTAAAACTTTAGGCTAAACTACTTTTTCAAAAAACTTCTCGTTGGACTTTGGGGTCAGCTTCACAGAGGAAAAAGAAGGTAAAACTGAGTGAAACTCACCCATTAGTCCGACGTCCGTTTCGCCAACCGATGTTTCTCTGCCCGACATCGCGTCTCTTAAACTCTGCACTCAACTCCGTCAGTAAAGTAGTGGTGGTTGAACCCAGAGCGTTTTAAAGAGAGTTACGTCACTTCCGTTCACTCCGACGGCGGACAATGGCGGCTCACGGAGCCTCTCGATGGTTCCCGGAAGTTTGCGGCGTTCCTGGTGGACTTTTATGAGGCGTGTAAAGAAAAGAGATTATATTGTATATTTAACAACGGCTTAAAAATAACATGTGCACTGAAGCATGTTAATGAATTCCCCTCTAAATGTGTAGATTAAGAGAATGTTAACACATAACAGATTGGGGGAAGTTAACTATTAGAATTAATTATCATATTTGAGACATGTAAGAGGCATTGTAACAAGGTTGATAGTAAGCAATTATCAAACCTTTGTGTGACTGGAAACATTAGGGGTGTTTCAAATAAGAGGGCAACAAGGAAACATGTTAACTGCATCACACTGCGGTGATGCGCCGTGTTGCACGGTAAGTACCTGTGAACTGTGATTTTACATACGTATTTACATTTATACGTCTATACAATTTCTATATAACTATTTTAAAGTACCATTCCTGTCTCCGTTTGTACAGATTTCTACCCAAAACAAATTAAATCAAATTAAACTTTCCAATCACGTGACAATCGAGCTAGTTGACGCGACTCTCTCTTTTCACGGCTCTGGTTGGACCTTCTTGCGGTCGCAGGATTCGTACACTAAAAGACGTAATGACGTAATTGAGGCGACAACAACAAAGCGAAATGCTTAAACTAATCTTGGAGAATGCCTTGCAAGATTTGCGTAGAACCAAATGTTACATACATTTACAAAGTGTGTCAATTATGTAATAAAATATTAAATCAATGCGGGGTTGAAAATAACTCCTCAAGAAACTCCTCAAGAATCATGCTAAAGATATGCATAACCTAACACTAACATTATTAACTCGGACCAACGTTTGCACATATTAGTCTCTCTCTCTCTCTTTTGATAAATTGAGCAACAGTGTCATCTAGTGAATATTTACATTACATGCAACTACAATTCATTTTGGAACCGCCCTGGTTTTGGTTACATTTAAATGAGTTTGTAAAAAAGAAAAAAGGGGGAAAAATGTCAAAAAGACACTGTATATAGCTTTGTTTTGGAGGTGAAAATGGTTTAATACACTGTGCAGAGAAGCTTTACTGTCCAGAAGACAGATTTGATCAACTGTCCAATAGCTGTGTGAAGTTAGTGACATTATTCCATCGCTTGTTTATGGAAGGTTGCAAATGTTTTCAGAAAGAAAAAAAACTCCCAAACGTAGTGAGAGAATCCAAATAAAACCACAAGAATGTAGATAGAGGAATGACTGGAACTGGGCTTCATAATAGAAAAAAAACATCAATTATATCAAATGCAGTACAAGATATAACAATAACTAACAATCAGAGGTGTTAACGAACAAAGTGTTAAGGAAAGAAAGAGAGAGAGAGAGACACCACACAGAGTTCTGCACTGCATTCTGGGAGTTTTCTGTTTCTATCAAAGAGCAGAGCAGACATGAACCCTCCTACGCAAGGCAGCGGTGAAGAATCTAAATGAAACGGAGGGCCGTGCGCCTGTCACATTCCCTCATAGGAATGATGCACGCGAGGCTTTACATGCGCCATCTGTGCCATCTGTGGGGCTCACTGTCATTGTGTGTACAAGCGAGGAGGACGTCGTGTTGCTCGGGAAGATGACGGAGTTGTTGAAGTTGCTCAAAGACTGTAAACTGTATATTTACACTTAGACGAAACGGCAATTTGATTTGCTTGATTATTGTTCTTCACGGTTGCATAGTGATCATGAAAGGACATATTTGCCTCTATTTTGTTAATGGAGCTTGTTATCATCTTCAAATAGACAGATAACAGATAAATATGGAATGGAAAATAGATGTGTTGATTTTTACTTTTTATTGTGTTGTAGGACACATTTTACTATTTGTCTTTTTGCTGCTTTCCAGCAGACCCGTCATCATGACTCGGCCCCAGATCATATGTCATTTTGTTGTGATTTCCATTTGTATCGCTTTGTGGTGTCAATCAAAACCTGATCTTTATCCATACGTCTCATGGTGCCATATAGGCGGTACGGCGCCTGCGTTGCATATCACAGTTACACCGAATAAAGAGGCTGCTAAAGGCATCATGTAAGATTCATCACTATAGGAGTGTGTGGTTTTTGATAATAACACAGAAATAGCTGATATTTGCAGGGAGGATGCACTTAGGATCCTCCTCCTGCGGCAGCATGGTCCTGTCAGAGCGACATGTTATTGGATTGGGACGAGGTTGCTGAGTCATTGCTGTGTAAGCAGCACTTTAATGTTGCTGGTTAATGTGGAACTATATATGTTTGCGTTGAATATCATATATTTTGTAGGTATGATCGTGATCTTTAAAGTTATAAACTACAGACAAATGTTGTGGGGTAAAGATGTAGAGTGTAATGATAATGGAGTGTAAGTATATCTTTACTTAAGTAAATGTGCTGTGTTTGTGTCTTCTGATAGAGTCCACTGATGCTGCTTGGTCCTCAAGTAATGGCATATTTCACACACAAGGTGTCAGTGTAATACAGCGACAGCGAGCCCCATCCTCTCACATTTTCTGAATAATGATGCGGTTACACAAGAAAACCCTGCTTGATCACTATGCTGAGACGCCCATAATCTGAGTGCTGAAGAATCCCAGTGAATGGAAATGTTTAGTGAATGGAGCGACCGCCGTGACGGAGCAGCATGAGCTTTAACACCAGCGCTGAGACGAGGCGACTGCAACGAAGCCATCTGCGGTCCAAATGGTCCCTTTTTCATGGATCTAATTTCAAACCCAAGGCGTCTGTGCGACCATTCAAATTCCCTCATTTGGGGAAGGTGATTTGCTTTCTCTCATGTTCAGGGTGTCATTTGGCACAGATGGAGGGGCAGCGTGCACCTGCCCGCCCCAAACGATTCGGCCTGAGCAGAATGCTGCATTCATTTCCTCCGATGAATCATTTGGCATAAAAGCAAATGGCACCGTCCCTCATGTGCGCTCATCAACGCAGTTCGTCTCCGTCCGGCAGCAAACAATTGTCCCCTTCTGCCATTTCAGTGTGGGTTTGCCCAGTGCTCATTTCATCATCTCTGTATCTATTTGCCGTCCTTTCGCAGCAGGGGGGGGAGGAAGCCTGTGCACATACGCGCTGTCACACATGGGGCAACCTGGGCAGTATTGTTGGAGATAATGACTGGAGCTGATGGAGGAGCTGCCTGTCATCTAGAGCAGCAGCTCATTAATGAGGAGGAAGAGCGTGGGCTCTTCCTCCTAACGCGGACCAAAGCAAGCTGGAGGCCTGCAGCAGCCCAACGGTCCTCTCCCCTTTTTTAAAAAGACATTTAAATATATATTAGCTGGAGAGAAAAGGCTTCATATTTCATCCATTTATTTGGCACGCGGTCGGGCTACTGGACCAAAGAAAAGGATTCTTAAAAATGAATCAATCGAAAAAGATCTGAGTTGATGGGAAAATCATCATAACAGTTTTTGGAAATAATTAAATGAATAAATTGCATCAGTGGAGCTCTTTAAACTAAAGGTTTTATGTCAAAGGATGATTCAGTTCAGGTAATGTACCGTACTGTAGGGAGTGCATTACTGTGCAAATACTGTCATTTACCCAACGTTAAACATTACTGTTAAATAGTGCATTAAGGGCCAAAGGAAATCTATACATCCGTGCATACTCTCAATAACTGGTTTGTTTTAATGACGCTGCCATTGAGCACATTGAACCAATGTGTGTTCTACCTGCACTGTAGAATCAGCAGACCCACAATGAAGGCAGCCACCATTAATGTTATCACTAAATAATGTGCTCCGCAAGTGAGCATCACAGCCATGAGAAACGCGTATTGACGTGCATTCACATGGGAGGCCAGTGAGGGACTGCATCACATGCACTGCACGTGTGAGGTGGAGGAGGTGTTTCTACCCGGCTTCCTCTTTGATGCTCCTGCGTCTTTGACATGAAAGCCTCATTGTCACCATTTGTTAGCGTCTGAAAGTGCATCTGGTTTCATCACAACCTTTCCCCATTCACCAGAGTTCATCCAAACACCGGCAGAGAAAGCCATACATGCAAACAGAAGCACACAGAGGGCTTCCCCTGAATAACGACAGTGCTGTTCCCGGGCTTCTTTTCAGAAATAATTGAGCACATCCATTACTTGAGGAGATTTATGGCCTCTTCTTCTATCTCCCTTTTTTTTTTTTTTTATCTCGGGGCCGATTTGCCTCAGTGTGGGAAGTCCAATTACTGAAAAGTGAAAATGTCCCGCCGCGAGGTTGGAATCACAGTTCTTTCACAACACACCACCGTAAAGAGCAGCAAACAAGAGCCAGCAAACAAGAGGCAGCGAGCGGCTTCCCCGTCCGTCAGCCGGGCGCAAAGAGCTGCCTGATCTCCTCCGTGAACAGTCTTTTCCTCCACTTTGTTCTCGTGTGAGGACCAGAGCTCAGTTGCCCCCATCTGTTGCCACACAGTGATGCTCCCCACAGCCACGTGAGCATCCGTCGAGTGAGAGCGCTCCGCATGTAGCGCACTTTGAATTACACGTGATTTAAGAGAGTTACTGGCATTGCACACGTGATGTTTTGCAGTTCTCTCTGAGAACACGCAGAGAACATGGGATGGTTATTGGTTGGACACGGGTATGTGCTGGGTTTACTGATCGAACGTTTAGGAGGGCTCGAGGGCGAGTAGAGCACAGGCGAGAGAGTTCCATCATGTTTAGGAGAGCGCTTGTTGACCGAACGACTGTCAAAGTCCTGCATGTTTTGAAGCGTTTTTAATGCATTCCAGAGGAACTGACATTTTCTTCCACGACTCCTTTCACTCTCAAAAATGCATAAAAACCAGCAGAGTTCAGTTGTTTCTGGATAGGTGGGATTTCTTTGAAACCACCTACTCAAACCTACACGAGAGGAGGCTGAACTATAGAGATCTTGAGAGATGGTAGCAAGTAAAAAAACAAAAAACAAAGATGTGTCTAGTGGAAATCAGCTTCACTCAGTTCCGGTGTTTCCCAGCGACATTTGGGCCTTAATTATCTACG